TATTTTATATTGTATATATTTATATACTATATATGCATAATTATGTGATTTATTTTTATATTGTATTTTATTTTATATTGTATATATTTATATACTATATATTTAATATTATGTACAATATGTACATATTGTATATTAATACAGTATGTATTGTACTGTAAGATACAATATAAAATATATTTTGCATATTTACATGTAATTTAAATGTTTATGTATAATTTAAATACTGTTGACTGTGGTGGCTTCTGGAGTTACAGGAACCTTGAGCCTTCTAAAGGTGTCATCTCAGAATGTTTGTCACTATATTGTCTTTCTAGTCCTCCTCCTCCCAGTGGAGGAGCACTTTACTTATTCTCTCTGACAGGCTCATCCTCCACCATAAGTGCCAAATGTCCCCTTCCTTAGCAACCCCTGAGAGACCACCAATGGCTGTTAAATGTGTATAGCACTTCTATCTAAGAAAAGAATTTACCTGAGTCCACTGCCCTTCCACACTATGTCCCTGTTTCAGTATGACTTCAGAGTTTTTGAAGACATGTCCTGCTTTCTATTTTTTACCTATTTCCTTCTTAATTTCTTGCTTCTGTGCTACCTGAACTGTGTGCTGGAAGATCACCTGTAATTTCCTTTCTACTAACCTCATTGACCTTGGCTCCTCCTTTATCTTGATCTCTGCAGTATTTGATGGTGTTGACAGCTCCATCCTCCAGATCTTTCTTCATTGACTTTTATGATATTTTACTTCTCTGACCTTCCTGATGCCTTGAGCAATATTCTAAACCCCTCCCCTCCCTTTTTTTGTCTCCTTTAGCTTTGTGATAATCAAGATTTTCTATATTATCTCTTAATGCGAACTCGTGTGTGTGTGTGTGTGTGTGTCTGTGTGTCCCTTCACTCCCACCTTGCAGTTGAACATGCACAGATTCACCTCCAGTCCAATATGCATCTTGCCTTGTTTCCTATGCCTTATTAAAACTGCTGTCTTTATGATCTGATTCAAGTGCTAACCATTCCCGTTAAGTCTCTAGCCATAGTCTCTAGCACCTGCTGATTTCCAATGAATTTCTTTTGTTTTAGGACTTTAATAATGTCTTACCTGTTTTATGAGTGACTGACTTATCTTCTCAAATAAATTGCATACCCCTAGCAATAGTTATTTAGTCCTATAATACTTTGATATGTTCTTTAACACATAGGCATTGTGTGTGATAGGGACTTCACAAATACTCATTGAAAGTAACAATTGAATTCTCTTTACTTTTAGATTCTTCTTTAGAACTCTTCCTTCTTATCCACAATTTGGATAGCCAGATGTTGAGAGGAGACAAAAGCCAGCAAGTTATTGGACAGTTGTCATCTTTACGTAACATATACCTTATAGCATCTATTGATCACCTCAATGCTCCTCTCAGTAAGTTAAATATTACTATTTTTCTTTCTTGAGGTATCAGTCTTATAAAATTAATTTTCTTAGTGTTGTAAGTCACAATATTTTTATTGTTTTTCAATACACTTTTACTTTGTTGCATGTTCGAAGACACAGGTTGCCAAAAATATAGGTGTCCTCAATCTGATTTAGAACATAATCCTTGGAAATAAAAATTCAGATTCTAAAGTGGGTGTTTTACACCTAAAGTTTCATGAAGGAGAGGAGACTCAACTATTATTTTGGTCTCTTTTTACTAATTTTTTTATGCATTTAATTCAGAGACTTTGTGATAATCCTATAAAACAAAATGTTAAGTTATTAATTTTTTAAAAGAATGCCTTGGTAGCACTAATATATTTTAGTTTGTATTTAATATACAATTAAAGATTCAGATGTGGACTGAATGAAATTAGGTTGTGAGGTACTGATTTGGATGGGGATATGGCAAAAATGAAAGATTTCAGGATTCATGTTTTATTTAATGCTTTCTCATTCTTTCTAGAGTGGAATCTAGTAATGTGACAATAATTAGCAATTCTTGTTTTCTTTGATCATGTGCTCTAGTGTGGGATCATGCAAAGCAGAGTCTTTATAACTGGCTCTGGTATGAAACTACCACATATAGTCCTTATACTGAAGAAACCTCCTATGAGAATTCTCTTCTGGTTAAACAGTCTGGATCACTGCCACTTAGTTCCCTAACTCATGTCTTACGAAGCCTTACCCCTAATGCAAGGTAAGAAGAAAACTATAGTTTTATTTTTTCAAAAACTGTACATTTTAAGATACATGCTACTAGGTTTTAATGGCAATACTAAAGTCCCTACTTAGTTTGAAGGATTAAGAGAAATAGTAGTAGTAATGTTGCAGTACTGAGTTATACAATAGGCAGATTACTCAATAGTAGTCTACCCAATTGCCCAATAATAAAGCAGGAGGACCAACATTTTTTTCCTTAATAGATTTTTATATTTCTGAATAAGAACAACTCAGCGATCATGGTGGAGGAAAAAGCAGAATTTTGATGAATTTTACTTAAATTTGATGGTTATTTTTTTATACCTTTATTGAGGTATAATTGATATACAAAGAACTGCACATATTTAATGTGCATAATTTGGTGAGTTTGGACATATGTAAATACCCATGATATATTTGATGGTTATTTTTAATTAATATTGAACATTATGATTCAGACATGGGGCACTTTACATGAAATAGCTCATTTGATCCTCATAACCCCTCTAAGGTAGAAAGTAAAAGGCATAGAGATTTTGATCCAAATCTGCCTGGCTCCAAAGCTCCTGCTCTTAAACATCTTTGTGTAATGTTTCCAACAAAGCCCTTTCAGCAGCCTAACCAAGAGGCATATCTAAATTAATAAAAGCTACAAAAAGCTGGATATAGCATAGGCCAGCAAAAATTAAATTGCATGATAATTAACCTGTTGAAAGAGGCTTTTAGTAGCAAACTCCCCCCAAAAGCATAGAATTCTAGAACTATTTTTAGCTAGATGAAGTGTTAAAAAACAACAAACCTTGTTGAGGATAGATAAGATTTGAATAGGTGAAGAGAAATATTGTGTTCTTGGATAAGTGAACTGTATATTATATAATTTTATTTATTTATTTATTTTTCCCCCAAAGCCCCAGTAGATAGTTGTATGTCATAGCTGTACATCCTTCTAGTTACCGTTTGTGGGACGTGGCCTCAGCATGGCCGGAGAAGCAGTGCCTTGGTGCGCACCTGGGATCCGAACCCGTGCCGCCAGCAGCGGAGCGCACGCACTTAACCACTAAGCCACGAGGCCGGCCCGTGAACTGTATATTATAAAGATGGCAATTCCTCCCAAGTTAGAAATATATTAGACCTATAAATTAATCAAAACATAAATGATATTTTTATGTTTTAAATTTGACAGAAAATTCAAAGTTTCTTAAAGAATAAAAGGTGAGACTAGTACAGACTTTTTTTTTCTTTAAAGAGCATTGAGGGGACACTTCTGGTCAAGATGTCATAGTACTTTCATACATTAATTCAGCCTTTTTTGTTGCAGTCATACAGTATAATAGATAAAATATAAAACAACAAAAAATAAAAAGAGAGAGCCTGGCTCAAAAATGATCTTGAGGGCCGGCCCTGTGGCCTAGTGGTTAAGATCAGCGCACTCCACTTAAGCAGCCTGGGTTTGGTTCCTGGGCACAGACCTACACCACTTAGTGGTGGCCATGCTGTGGTGGCAACCCACATACAAAATAGAGGAAGACTGGCACAGATGTTAGCTCCGGGCGAATCTTCCTCAAGCAAAAAAAAAAAAAAAAAGTAAACATCTCAATGGAACAGAATCATAAAGCAGTGAGAGTTGAAGCCACAGCCCAGCTGCATTCTGGATCTAGAAGCAGCATTGGCAGCCATGAGTTTGACTTGTGTGGGGTACTAGCCATGTGACAATATCAGTTAGTATCCAAACCTGGACATTTTGTTCAGGACAAGTGCTAAACCGGACAGGATGGTAGATGTAAACATAAAAAGCATGTAAAACAATATTATATAGTGTTCAATTTTTTGTATCAATATGAATAAAATTTTAAAATGTACAGAATTAGGTATCAAAAATACCTAATTCAGGAGAGTACTGACCCTGGAAGAGAAGGGAGGGGAATAGATACAGGATGGGGTACACAGGAACTTTCAAATAGATCTTTTTTTTTTTTGCTAGCAACTTCTTTTCTATTTATTTATTTTTCTTTTACGTGTATCTGGTTTTTTAAAAACTTTTTGTTTTGAAATAATTACAGATTCACAGAAGGCTACAAAGAAATGTACAGGGAACTCCTGAGCACCCCTTTCCCAACCACCCTTCACGCCAGCATCTCACACCACAGTGCAGTGTTAAGACAAGAATCTGACATTGGCACGATCCATAGGGCTTATTCAGATCTCACCGTTGATACGTGCACTCGTTTGTGTGTGTGTACTTAGCTCTGCGCAGTTTTGTCACGTGTAGCCTTGGCATAACTACCACACAATCAAGGTACTCAACTGTATCTTGATACTCAACAGGACTCCCTCGTGTTAACCCTCAAATGCTAATTTTAATGAATTGTGTTACTCTATCAAGTTGCTTTTGTACACTTAAAGATAAGATTAGCATTGTATTAATATTGAAATATGCGTTAAATGGGTCTCTAATGAATATTTTTGGTGGAACTGGGAGCAGAAAAAGTCTTCATTCAATTTTACTATTACACTTACTGCTAATGGCCCATTGCAAGTTGTTACATATAAAGTTGGGGATCCATACAATATAAATACTCAGAACATTAAATGTGCTGCTGACTGTTCTAATGCAAATATTTTTTAGTTTGGCGTACCTAAATGTCTGTGTGGTAGTCTTCAACACTTTCTTTTTTAATTTAAACTATTTTGAAATTTTTCTTCATTTTGCAACTTTTAATATCATTTAGTCTTTACGTGGAATGAATGTGATTGATTAAAAATCTTAACCAAAATTTAGCTGTGGAGTCAGTGGCGGTACCTAATTATAAAGTGGTCATTCAGACGACCTAAAATATGCTTACAGTAATTATTCTAGATTATCATAAAAATGAAAATGCAAAGGTTTAAAATTTTTGCCACACCCAAGGATTCCTGGGAATCTTAGTTTGTGTAACACTGCATCCAACCCCATAATTCCACTTGGTACACCCTCCTACAGAAATAATTCAAAATATGAAAGAATATTTATGTACAATTTTATTTAATGTGGAGTTATTTTTAATAGTTAAAATTGGAAGTAATGTAAACATCAAAACCAGTGGGGAAATGGTAAGTTTATGATATGATAGATGAGCAGCCATTTTAAAAATGGTTTGGGAAGAGATTTTAAAGACACGGAGAAATTAGTAAGTGAAAAGGTGAGAGGGCCGGCCCCGTGGCTTAGTGGTTAAGTGAGCGCGCTCCGCTGCTGGCGGCCCGGGTTCGGATCCCGGGCTCGCACCGACGCGCCGCTTCTCCGGCCATGCTGAGGCCGCGTCCCACATACAGCAACTAGAAGGATGTGCAGCTATGACACACAACTATCTACTGGGGCGTTGGGGGAAAAATAAATAAAAAAAATCTTAAAAAAAAAAAAAAAAAAAAAAAGAAAAGAAAAGGTGAGGTTTAAATGGTGTAAACCATATAGAAATGCGTAAATTCATGTGTTTCCACCTGCCTCCTTCCACAGAGATTTGAGAGAGCAGCACACACAGATACAGTCTCCACATCAAATGTTAGTGGCTGTTGTTTTAGGGTTATGGGATTGATATTTTCCTTTTTGGATTTTATTATATATTCCAAGTTTTCTATAGTAGACTAACCTATAATTTAAAAAAAAAATACTCGTAGATTTTCCTTAAAGGGAAATTCAAAAGCTCCTTTTCAAGAAGGCCAGAATATGATGTTCCTTGGAGAAAGGAACAGAAGATAATGCATACAGGCCAAGTATTTTACTCTTATTGTGTGTTTTACTACCAGCTGTTATCTTTTGATGTTGACATTTTGGGTTTCAATTCCTGTTTTTGTTTTTGTCCTTAGGGGGATTTTCAGGCTCCTAATCAAGTATCAGCTGGACAACCAGGAGAACCCTTCTTACACTGGTATCCAGTCTTGAGGATGTTCAGTTGTCTGACTTCTGTTTCACCCCATAAATTCCTTTTCTGGAACTAATACTAGCACTACAGTTTTTCACAGCAGTGAATGAAAGGTTTGCTCTGTGATCAGTATGTCTGCCACATAGCACATCTTCAGACCCTACAGAGACACTGCTGAACAGGCTGTTTGCCAATGTGAATTGAAAGACAAACCTAGCTTACTCTTTAAATTTCCTATGCCAGCTGTGAATATGTGTCTACCAATTACGTTATTTCATATGGGCATCTTAGGAGATTTCCTTCCCCTTGAGTAAAAATAGTGTTAATTTAAACAAGTATTTTAATAATCATTGAGTTCTCATGACTTACTAGTTCCCTCTTTAAAAGTCAACTTTATCCATGCTGTTTAAAACTGCCCACAGGATTATTTTATACTTGGTCACAGTTGACTACTTTCAGCCAATCAGTTCTCTTTTAAAAATATAAGCCACAGTGTATAACAACTAAGTGTTCTCTAGTTTTGCTTCTTCCAGAGGTACTTAAAACTTTAATCAATACTTACTGACTGTTTTGACATACTATGGCAAGAGCATTCTTTTCTGTGTTCTTTGGTATGGGTATCCATATATGGGGTCATGTCTTAAAAGCTGACTTATGTTCATTTAAGTGAACTTATATCTCCTTTTGAACTCTCCAGGACTTTCTTTTCAAGATTTTTACCAGCAGTGTCGGGAGGCATTCCTTGTCAATAGCGATCTGACACTTCGGGCCCAGTTAACTGAATTTAGGGACCACAAGCTTATAAGAACAAAGAAGGTGAGACTTTGCTGTTGCAGTGTTGTATGCCAGGAATAGTGTATATTATTTTCTTAGGGATAAGTATGCCTTTGACCCAGATCTGATTGTGAAACTGAGGTTCCATGATGGTTCACAAGGATCCATCTAGGCAATGTGCCATTTGAGTTCTGTAGGAGATATGGTAGAAGTAGTCTGCTTCAGAGCAGAGCAGAAAACTTACAAGTTCTAGTCCAGAGTAATAGGCCATTAGAAATGTATTATGAATCAAATAACTTCTATTCCGTTCTCCCTTTCTTCCTTCCACCCCATTCATTAATCCGATTTATACTTATTGAGCACTAACTATATATCAGATATTACACTGTGTTAGGATACAGTAGTAAGCAAAAACCTAAGTCCTTTTCTCATAGAGCTTAAAGTCTAATGGAGGAGATGGACACTTGTTGAATAATCACACACATGTAAAATTTTAACTGTGCTAAGTCCTATGATCAGAAGGTACATGGTTCTGAAAGAGCATATTAATATAGGTAGATTTGACCCAGTTATGGATATCTGAAGAGACCACTGAGCTGAGATCTAAAGGAAGACTAGGAGATAACTAGTCAGAGAGGGACGGGAAGAGTATTCCAGGCAGGAACAGCATGTAAAGAGACCCTGGAACAAAAAGAAGGCAGCATGGCGTAAGATGAGGCTGAAAAAATAGTGATGTAAGGGCTAGACCATGCATGACTTTTAGGCCAAGGAGAGGATTTTAATCTTTATTCTAAAATAATGGCAAGTCATTAAAAAAATTGTTCTGACTCTGGTATGGAGAGTGGAATGGGGCAGAGTGGGATGTGGATTGTCAAAAGTTGATGCACAGGGACCAGTGAGGAAGGTGTTAGTAGTCTGTGTGAGATGATGGTAACTTGGGCTAGGGTGAAGAGAGCAAAGTGGTTGGATTCAAGATATACTTAGGCAAATTGACAAGAATTGTTGATAGATTGGATATGGAAACCAAGGGAAAGGCAAGTGTGAAGAATAATCCCTTGTTTCTGGCTTGCATAACCAGAGAGATGGGGGGGGATCCCTGGATGAGAAACTGGAAGGGCAACATTTTTGGGGAGACACATGAGTTCATGATCTTAGTATGTTTGGACTTAGCATGGACTCATTCTCCTGAACTTATCGTGAACTCACTCTGAGGTTCCTTTGAGATTCCTCAGAAATGTCAACGAGGCAGTTGGATTCCTGGGACAAGAAACCAGAGGGAAGATCTGGGTTAGAGATACAAGAGTGTTGATTCCTACGTATTTAGCTTGTAGCTGAAACCAGGCATTGGTGGGACTACCAAGAGACAGGACATACAATGAGCTTAGCGGGCCAGGAACTAAGCCTAGAAATGTGACATTTACTAGCCAAGGAGAAGATAAGGCTGCAGAGGTGAAAGAAACAGCCAGAGAGCCGAGAGGAAAACCAGGGTATGATGTCACAGAAGCCAGGAGAAGCATGTTTCAAGGAGGAAAGAATGGTCAGCAGTGTCAGGTGCTGCAGAGAGGCCAAAAAAGATGAAGACTGAAAATATCTATTGGATTTAGGAATATGGACTTCCTGTGGTCTAAGCAAAAGCTCTTTTTGGTGACATGATAATGGTGGCAGTAGCTAGGTTGGACTGGGTTGAGTAAAACGTGAGGAAATGGAGACCACCATTTATAGACAGCTCTTCTGGAAAGGTGTAGCGGTTGGGTGATAGTTGGAGAGGAAGGAGGAGTCAAGTAAAGGTTATTTGAAAAGGGGAGGGCCCTGAAAGTACTGAAAAGCCAACGGGGAGGATCCAGTTGAAAGGAGGATAAAAGAACAGAGAGGTCGGGCACCCGGTGGTGTAGCGGTTACTTGCGCGTGCTCCACTTCAGTGGCCCGGGGTTCGCCAGTTTGGATCCTGAGCACGGACCTACTCACCGCTCATCAAGCCACAGTGTGGTGGCGTCCCATATATAAGAGCTACAACTCTACAACTATGATACACGACTATGTACTGGGGATTTGGGGAGAAAAAGGAAAAAGGAAAAGAAAAAGAGGAAGATTGGCAACAAATGTTAGCGTAAGGCCAATCTTCCTTAAAAAAAAAAAAAAGTAAAAAAAAAACCAGAGAGATCAATACTGTAAGATTCTAGGAAGAGCAGGCGAGTGAAGAAAAAAAATATCCACCTACTCACCCTCTAGTCTTCTCTCCCACTGTGGTTTAACTAAACTCTGCATTTAAGTAGATATATCCGCCTGTGTGCCCTTTCGCCTTAATTTTTATACTTCTTTATTTATATAAAGTATTAAGGAAATGAAATCCATTTTTTGTTTAACCTACAATAGGATTCAAGTATATTTCTTAGGGATGACTAACATCCAGTGTCTCCTTACATCTTTTAGGGAACTGATGGAGTGGAATATTTATTAATTCCTGTTGACAGTGGAACATTGACTGATTTCCTGGAGAAGGAAGAAGAGGAGTCTTGAAGCCGTCCTTCCTCTTGAGTCTTCTGTGAGGGGTTGACGTACTCCAGCTGCCACTCCTCTAGTCTGAAGTGTTGTGTTTACATACGGCGTTACTCTTTTTCCAGTGTACATGATTTAAAATTGGGAGGGGGAGTGTCACCAGTTAGAACCTTGGTTAGCCTGGCTGGTGTATTATCGCTAGTACTATGCATGGTCCTCAAGTTGGAGAAATTGTGCCTTTCATTCGTTATCTCTCTGGAGACGTCTTGCTGGAATGAACAGTGTGCTCAGGGACTATTTGGAACTGGATGTTTTTGAATTCTTTTATACTAGAGATGATATTATTCCTAATTTTTTGAGGGCCTTTTAACACTCCTGGAGCTGATTGTTTGCAAATGTGCTTGTTCCAGAGTGTGGAAGTACAAAGACATGGGCATCACGTAAACCTGCTTTATTTGCTGTTGTGGGTGTCAGGACTGATGAGTGTAATGGAGAAGGCAGACCATCTCTTGCCGTTTCTGAAATGTTTTAACAAAAGGTAGAAGTCTGGGAAGAAGTAGGTAACCCAGCTTTCTCCTTTTGGATTTAGGCTACATACTGGGGCCGGGAGAGGGGGCCTGACACTATTCAGTTGGGATGGTGGGAAAAGCATAATGAGTGTACAGGGTGTGTACCCACCCTAGAAAGCATACAAACAATCACAGACCATGGTATTCGGAACAGTTCCTGACTGTGCCATTACCTTCAGATACAAGTGAGAAGCCAAGCTAGAGAAATACAATCCTGAATTACATTTTAGTCACTGTTTTTAAGACAAGAGAAAATAAAAATCTAATTTTTCTTGTATATCAACATTTTTCTTTTCTTGAATAACATGCAGGTGAGTAGCATATTAATGACTGGCTTTAAATTAATCTTGATTTCTCTATCAAGTAGACCTAAAACTCACTGTAAGACATTTCAATTTTTTTCTTAAAGTGACAGTTTCAAGCCTCCTAAATATTTACAGGAGCTTTTGTCTTAGGGAAAAAAGGCTAGCCTTGGCCACTGTAGTCAGGTTATAGTCTTCACATACTCCCTGAATTATTTCATACTTGGAAGTGAAATTCTTTGTTTAAACATCACTGTAATAAAGTATGTATTGCATCAGCATTTTTCACTCATTTCTTATCTTGTAAAGCCCTTTCATGAAAATATTTCCCAAAATGCTCAGAATTTTTAAAATCATTTCTTTGTGGCATATAATGAATTTTGCTAAATCCATATATTAAAGGTTTAGTCTTAATTACTAATCAAAATATTTAAACAAATTGTACATGAATATGATTCTAAAAAATTTTAATTGTACCAAAGGATATCCAGTGAATGAGTTTCACTCCTATTCCCTGATCAAGTCCCTTAGGCACCCCATGACAGCAGTGTCGTGTTCTTCCACAGGTATTCTATGCACAGGTAGGGGTATTTGTCCCTCTCTCTCCTTTTAAAAAAACAAATGGTAGCATATGATACTTGCTGGTTTGCACCTTGCTTTTTTTGCTTAATATATCTAGTTTATAATAACTTACAGTATGAAAAAGTATACAAAATCTTTAATGACCTAATGTGCAAACTTTGCATTTGCCCTTCAATATCTACTGGTTTATTTTTTAATTTTTGTGTCTATACTATTTGCAGGCAGTATGTGTCAGTAGTCTACTACTAAATAAAAAGCCAATTTGGATAAAACCACTTTTTTAAACTTGTAGTACTGGTTTTTTACTAAAAATATCTTGAAGTGCTTCAAAGATTTTATGAGTGCATCTTACAGATCTGATGAAGACCTTGGCAGAATTGCCATATGCTCTTCATTAGCCTGTGTCAGCATCAAAGTTCCTTAAGCTCCATCAGTTAGAGTCTGACTGCTGAGGTGCCAACTTCTGCTGTTCCTCCCTCTGGCAAGATGGAACCAACCTGAAACCTTGCCGGGTTTTTCTGGCTGCTCTTTTAATAAAATGGCTAAATAAATAAATAGGCCAAAAAGAGGCACAGGGGACACAGAACAGACATTTACACTCTGCAAACTTGACATAATGCTGAATTCCCTCGGCAGGGAGGGCTCAGTCCGTTCTTGTGATACTCCAGAAAGTGGCCTTTCTTAGCATTGCAGTTGTCACTTTAATATATGAACACTTCATTCTTATAAAAGATCACTGAGTTTGGGGGATGGTTAACAGATTTTGCTTAACTTTTTAAAAATAATTACGAAACTTGACAAGTCTTTTTTCCCTCCAGCTAATTCAAGTGTGGAGCCAGTAGCACTGTTGAGTGTATTTTCCTACATTCTAGGTGAGACGACTCTTCCAGCTGAGTCCTGAGAGGCCATCAGAGATTACGTGAGGCACAAGGGTCTGCCTTATCACAGACTATGTGGCTCCTAAAAGCTGAGGGATGAATAAATTGTTACATAAATGGCTTTGTTCTCAGGCTTTTTGTAATTACTTGATTTCTCCCTTAGGAGAGTCTCTGACATTTTGATATTTCAAATTGCTGTTAAACCATTTTAATTCATGTTTGTTGAGCACTTACTACATAGAAGGCTCTGCGCCAGAGTTCTGAGGATATGAAGATGAACTGTGAAATATCTATTCATAACACTTATGCTATTTAATAGCATTAAATGTTACAGTATCCTTAATGTGCTGAATAAAGTCAATTTGAAATAACGGGTGCTACGGAAAATATAACTTTAAATGTGAGTATAACAAAGCTCATTAGCAAATTTTCATTAACTCTTTTGGCATATATCACCCTGGCCCTATATCCCAAGTATTCAGACCACCATGTCTACTTTTGCTACCCAAAACGTACCCTCAAAATGGCAGCATCAGCATCTCTTGGGAACTTAGAAATGCTTAGGCCCTACTCGAGCATCTGAATCAATCTGCATTTTAGCTAAATCTCCAGATGTTCTTGTGCACATTCAAGTCTGAAAAGCAATGCTATGTACAACTAAGCAATCAACACCTTAAAGAAAGTTAACAGTTCAGAAAACTTGTCAAGTGAAAGTAAAGAAGAATCTTCAGTGATACTTTATTTTTAAAAAACTACAAAGGATATATATTTGGCAGTATTTTTAGTTATTTAGAAATGCTGGCATGCCCGTAAAGAAACTTGAAAAATTACAAAAATAATCATTCTTTAAAAAAAAAACTATTTGGCAATAAGTATGTCCAATTATAAACAAATCCTTTGATCCAATCATTAGCCCCTTCTGGAACTCTAGCCAAAGGAATTCATCCACAACCTTCAATTCCATGAGATCCTTACTGCCATTACGAGCCACTGTTAAATCACATCATACCTTAAGTGCGCTATAAAAAAAAGGTTTCAGAGTCACTGGCACCAGGCTATTTCTTCAGCATCATCCCTGACCACACCTTTCTTCTTCCTTCCTGCTTTCCACCCTGACAATAATGAATTAATTACTTGGGCTTTTTCACTGTATTGTGCTGTTTCTCTACTTAATGCATTTGTTCAAGCTGTCCCTCTTGGCTGAGTTCCACTCCCTTTTACCAGAAAACCTTCCCTACAAACCCTACGCCTGTCCTTAGCATAGTTACTTAAGAGTTTATTCTAATTATCATCCAAATTTCTGTTGTATTCTCCTCACGTGTATTCTCACATCCCTCGGGGCCCCATGTATGGAAAGCAAATGATGAACGACTGAAGCAGACGGTTAAGACTCTCTCAAAGCTGTCTGCTCTCACACTCTCTCTACTGGACATCGCTGACCCCCGCATCGGAGCCTTCCTCTTGCCTTGGGACACTTGGCTGATTCTCCTCCCACCTCCTTCCTTGGCTCCCCCTCCAGCCCTCTAATTGGGGACATTTCATAAGGTTCAGTCCTATTGGTTATTTCTGTAGGGAATCAATATTACCAGTGAACCACCAAGAATAATTTATAACTTAGGATCCCAAATCCTCCAGGAGATAAGATTGGTAGAAAAAGGGTCTTACAAAAGAAATGTAAAATTCTATGCTTTCTCATATTAGACAGCATTTTAAAAGATTTGCTTTTATCATTACCAAAGTAAAAAGCTCAGAAAAGGAACTGGAAATATGTATGAAAGTATTAAAAAGAAAAACCTCCCATCATACCACCCAGAGAAAATCACAGTTAAAATGGTTCCTCTTCCTTGAGGATTTCTTCCATACCTCTTCCATCAGTCTTCCGTCAGTGTACTTGGTTAAGAAGTAGGTAAGCAGGGGCTCTAGAGCAGAGTGCCTCAGGCCACGTCCTAGCGCCAGCACTTCCTAGCTGTGTGGCCTTGGGCAAACCACTTAACCTCTGTTTCCGTTTCCTGTCTATAAAACGGGAATACCTATATGCTTGTTTATAAAGGATTCCAAGTGTTCATAAAGCACCTCGTAGGGTGCCTGGCACAAAATTAATACTGTGTGAGTAATCACTAGTATTATTTTGAAAGCTAACCATCTTTATATATTACTAATATGATTATAGAAGAGTTACCTAAAAAGCAATAAAACAATAGTTATAGGAATAATGATAATGTATATTAAAAAAAAGAAAACATCCTGATAAGTCTCATCCGAATTCTGAAATTTAGGTGGGAAATTAGTGATCTACCAACAGTGATCTAGGATCCGGAGACATACAGACAGACCTCATCACCCCCTACAGGTGTTCCAATCCCAAGTTTTTATTTATTTTTTGCCAAGGAAGATTTGTCCTGAGCTAATATCACTGCCAATCTTCCTCTTTTTGTATGTCAGCCACCAACACAGCATGGCCACTGACAGACGAGTGGTGTAGGTCTGCACCCGGGAACTGAACCTGGGCCGCCAAAGTGGAGCATGCCGAACTTAACCACTAGGCCAACCTGGATGGCCCCAATCCCAAGTTTTTAAAGTAGGTTTTTAAACTAACCAAGGGCAGAAAGATATAGAATGACACATCCCATCTATAATTAAGCTAAGGAGGGCTGGCCCCGTGGCTTAGCAGTTTAGTGCGTGATTTCCGCTGCTGGCGGCCCGGGTTCGGATCCCAGGCGCGCACTGACGCACCGCTTCTCCGGCCATGCTGAGGCCGCATCCCACATACAGCAACTGGAAGGATGTGCAGCTATGACATACAACTATCTACTGGGGCTTTGGGGGAAAAATAAATAAATAAAATTATAAAACAAAAAAAAAAAGCTAAGGAGAAAGTTACAAGGGTGTTAAGTAAACAGATTTTCGTTGATCTTGCTTAAGAGTTTATAATGAATGTACACTTTATATATTACTTAATATACTTTTTAGTTCTTTATAATGAATATTTGTTCTTTAATGGTAGTTACATTACAGTTTTTACCTCATGAGCTATAAAACATTTGGTGAAGCAGATTAACAGACCAGAAATGATAAAGTACATTCTAAGACGTTCTTCCAGAAGGATACCAACTCCACTGATTCATGTTCTACATGTGCACTGGGGGCCAATCAATTTGTGGACTGTGTCATCCTGTTGTTCCTGCATGCATCATACCACACACAGAGGGTCCCTGTCTGTTTCTGACAGGATAATATTAATCTTATTCTCCAAGTGAGCACCCAGCATGTCTCGAAGATCAGAAAGAAAGCCTCGTTCAGTGTTGCTGTGTTCACAGAGGATGACACTTATTCCCTGGGAAGCAGCATCCAGAATATCATGATGGGACATCTCACCTGCCAACAAAGGAGAGAGCAAATACTTCAATATCAGACACGGAGTCTGTGGAATGCTGAACCGTAACAGCAGAAATACCACGTCTGCATTCTGTATGAAGCAAATGTAACACAGCAGAACTTTACATACAAATCTAGAAAGTTATGTACAGGTTTCTTACATATCCTCCAAGTTAAAAAGAGACAGAGACCATCCCACTGAAAATTTTTCTCCCTGGCAGACCCAAGACGTATCCAAACCTGCATATCCGATATCAATAGTGCTGGAAGATCCAGACCTGTAAGAACACCCATTTGAAATGTTTCCACAATAAAATGACCACTGCTAAGTAAAATGGGGCTTTCAGGAAGTTTCTTTCTTATATAAGTATTAAATAACAAATACATCGAGAAAATCCTAGGTATACTTCCCAGAAGACTCCTTTATGCTTTGTGAGTGCCAAAATTTTCAGCATCAATCCTATTGTAATTCATAAGGACGAAATGAGCTTAAGATTATTTCTAAATTAAAAACAAGGTATTTTCCTTTGACAGGCAAAATTCCTAGACATTCTGAAGTTACTGGTGGAAGAGGATCTCATCTTTTGTGAAAAGATTTTAGGAAAACTCAAATGTTTTGAATTTTTTAAATCTGATGACTTCTAATTTCAAAGCAAAAACATATTGTGCACAATTTGGCTTATTCATAAAAAAGCATAATTTTGAAATATATTTAGAGACATAAAGGCATAAAAAATAAGGGAAAAAATGTTCTTAGGGGAAAAAAGGGTTTTTTCCCCCAGAAATTTTCAGGTTCCCCCCCTGAAATATGCGTCATTTCATCATAAGTAACAGTTTTTATTCAATCACTTTTTAAAGCGTCTTAATCTATAACAATAAAGGTAAAGTAAAAGGAGAAGACAACGCTTCAGGTGACCGGGTTGGAGGCCATCCTCCAGGAAAGCAAGCCACGCCCTCGCTGGAGAAGGCACCAAAGTGGCGAAACCCATGGAGACCCTGCCGTAACAGCGGAGGGTGACAGGAAGAAAAGCCTTGCTCAGGATGGCGGCTGTGGAAAGAAAGAGCAAATGAGAGAGAATTTATATCTGTAAGGAGCAAGCTCCCCGTCTGCTGATTTTTCTAAGACATCATCCTTAATAACCTAACGCCATGCCAAGCTCCAAGAAAGGGTGGTGAATACAGCAGAGGCCTGTGTTTGGTCTTTTGGCTGGTGGTGCTTCCCATCCCTGAAGTTATATTCAAACTGATGCCTCACAGATCAGAAACATCTCAAGTTAGCCAGATAAAAAGATATTTTCTATTTCCCCAAGTAACCAGATTAGAAGGACATTTTAACATTTTGGAACTGTGTGAATCTAACTTACACACACATTGCTTTGTAATAAAAAAAAACTAGTTTTAAAAAACTCATTATTTATGAGGAAACAATCAGACACTTCAAACTGAGAGATATCCCACAAAGCAAATGGCCTATACTCTTCAAAGACGTCAGTGCTCTGAAGGCAAAGCTGAGGAACTATTCCAAATGCAGGTGTGATCAGGATTGGATAACGATCAGAAAAAGAAATGCTACAAATGTTGACCAATCAGCAAAATTTGAATACAGACTGTATATTTAAATAAGTGTTTTAACAATATTAAATTCCTGAATTTGATCACTGTTCCATGGTCATATAAGAGAATGTCCTTGTTCTTAAGCGATACATGCTGACGTATTTAGGGGTAAAAGGTCATCATGCCTGCAATTTATTACAAAATGGTTTTGGGGGATAACACATAAATATATAAATATATATTTATATACATACAAAGATAATATGAACAGAGAGAGAGAATACACGAATGTGGCAAATAACCATTAGCAATCCAGGTGAAGGGCATATAGGAGTTCACTGTACTATTCTTGCAACTTTTCTATAGGTCTGAAATGCCTTCAAAGGAAAATGTTACAATTAGTTTTAAAATAGTCTCACACACCATGCTTTCAGATATTCCCTCAAATTTCCTATACATTGAAAGTTTATTTCAATCTGGTACAAGTTTGAGGGCTTATAAAGTCTTACATCTTCAGAATGACAGAAAACAAACAGGTAATGGTCGCGTACCTTTTCAGTTGGTTCAGAGCAATGACATCAGGCTTGCTCAGATGCTGCACAGATCCTTCTGGATGTGACAATGTTTCAAGTGCAGCAGCCCTTCTAAGAGTGTGTGCTAGACAACGAGGCATGGGTGTGGGAGGCTAGAGAGGCACAGAAGTAGCCAAGGGAAGGCCAGATGATTAAGACCCCAGAGTCTGGTCCTAGAAGTGGGAACAGTAACCTTTACGTCCCTCTCCTAACCCCGAGGAGGAGCAGAGGGGGAAGTGCAGCTGGTAGCGAGTGTACAGTGTCTCCAAATCCACTGTAGGAATGATGGGCTGTGTTACCTATCAGGTATTGTCCTCAAGGACCCAGTGTAAAGCCTGGGGCCAAAAACTTCCTGTCCAATAGAAATGCACCCTGGAGGTTATGGACAACGTGACAGGGATGGAGAGGAAGGCGTGTCCATCGGCCAGGAGCCGGACAGCGTCAGAAAACGCCTCTCAGTGGAGGTATCTTTGAGCTTATCACTAGAAGTACAAAGAAAGGGACAAGGAAAGTTCTAGCCAGAGGAATCAGCACAAGCAGAGACTGCATGAAAGAGGGTGAAACGTTCAGGCTTCTCCAGGACAGATAAGGAACTCACTTGAAGGTTTTTTAGCTAGGAAAATATTATACACCATCCAATTTGTACTTGTGAAGGTTAGTTTTGGGGGAGTGTGTGGAACATTAAGATTAGAGGCTTGATGAAGTACTTCAGGTAGGAGATGATGCCAGGATAGACATAAAGGGGAAGGTTCTAGAAAGATTTTGGAGCTAGAATTGATAGGAACTGATGAACTTTAGGGCTGAGTAAGAGTAACCATCCAGCTAAGGTGACAAGGTAGAGAGTGTCCCCCAACTGACATAGGAAATCTGAGAGAAATTATGTTTAAGAAGAAGAAAGGTTAAATAAATGCTGAACATCAGTCAGTTTTTTAGATAATCAAATAATAAATTGTTAAATGATTTTTTCCCTCCACAAAGAATATGGTTTGTCCCCAATTTTGGTGTAGTTCCTGTTTAGTTCAGTTCAAAAAACATTTATTAGGTCCATCTGTATGCCAGGTACTGTCTTAAAATCTGCTATTTTTTAACTTGCAAAAAATAAACCAAAGTTGAGAAAGGATACACAAAAAACGGGTAGAAAAGAGATCCAGAGGCTGTCCTACCTGTGAGGTAAAGGTCAGCCTCCACGCCCTGCAGAACACTGCTCCCAGAACCAGCACACAGGGCCACGACCTTGACCTGGGACTCTTCAAGACAAAGGAAACAAGAGACCAACACTTTACAATTCTCCTTCATTTTAATATTATAATTTGAACCAAGAATCCTAAATGCAATGCAGGTTTCACTGCTGGTTTCATCACCAGTGTATGAATTTTGCTTACTGAATTTTAAAAGATAACAAAACGTGTCTCCATATAGGCAGATTATTCCTTGATATTGCATAGCTAACCCAAGGCAAGGTTATTACTCCTTCAGATGTACATGGCTGCATGAGCCCACAGAAGGCACCACTGAAGAGTGCTAACTGCATAGCTCAAGACTTGACCGCCACGCTGCCAGGTGAAGTAACCGTGCCCAGGGCTCCAGGCGACGGGGAGAGGTGGTCAGGTACTATCTCTGTTCTCAGGTAAGGAGGCTGAGGAATGAGAAGGGCTAGTCAGAGGAATGCTACGAATGGATCTGACACACATCTGTCAATAGCGTATTTATCCTAAAAGAGCATCCTCTGAGGAGTGAAAGAACAGAAACTTTCAGGCCAAAATCCAACAAGTACTTTGCACTTGGTTTCTAGAATTGACACTTCATTAGTGGTCACTCCATTTGTGGCATTTCAAAAGAGGGGCTGTGGAGTTGGATCAGAAGTCACATCTTATCTCTGCCATCCATTTTCTTTGGAAACTAACTCCCACGAGGTGTTTGATCCAACTGTGGACTTCTGGATAAGTTACGTATCTCTCTGGGGCTCCATTTCGTCACCTATACAATGGGAACAATAACACCTACCACAGAGCTAACAATGGCGAGCGCTTACTGTCTGTAGTGTGTGCCAGTCACTGGGCCCTGTCACGTGGATCACACCACCACCTCAATGAGTCAGGTTTTATTACTGCAGTTTTCACAGATGAGGCTACCAGGACACAGAGGGGTTCAATAAGCTGTCAAAGTCATGCAGCAAATGGGACAGACAAATTGGGACCCATGGCCTTTAGAATCCACACTCGACAACTGCGTTCCACTCCCTGCCTCTGCACTGGGGAACTCACATACTTAGGACATTCAGTACAGTGCTGGGCTCACTACAGGGGTCCAGCTAATGTCCTCTTTATTCCCTTTGTTCCTGAAAGTACGGGGAAAGCCAGAAGACAAGACAGTGGCTCCAAGACTCACAAACTGCAGTGCATCCTTCACTCAGTAGCACCTCACTGTAAAATATCACCACTACTGCAAAATGCAAGATTCACGCTGTGATTGGAGCCATCATAATTTCAGCTCCCTTCCTGGCACACGGCAGGACCACATTTCATGCCCTCCCTGGGTCATGTTGGGCAATGTGACTAATTCTGAACAATAAGTTCAACAGAAGTAATATATATCATTTCCAGGCGAGAATGTGTAACTGATGTTTTAAAACCCTTCAAAACGTTTCCTCTGCAACAGCGACCAATCTACAATGAGCAGCCTTCCCCTGCTGACTTGAGAGTGTGACTGAGAAATAAATCTTCTTTAAGCCAATGAGACGTAGAGCACGGCATAACCTCTCCCACCCTGACACATAAGGTAAACCAGCCCTCTCCCGTGAGCTGCTAACACGTTTTCCATCACTTATACTAATACAACCAAGGGTGTCAACTTTTGCCCAACATTAGGAGTAGGTATACCAGACAAAGAAAGGACACATATTTACCTAAGGTCCTCCCCACCCCAAGAGCAAGGCGAACATGAGATAGTTTTAGGTGCCTTTTGATTCGCTCAATCATGGTTGCCAAGGAGACAGATTCATCCAGTGTGCATAATCGTCCCATTCCAGTATGCAGAAGCAGAGGCTGAAGAGAAACAGAAGGTAGAAAACTGTCTCTGAAATTAGAAAATTAATCCTGAAATTACAGCGTACTTTTTCTTCACTGTTACATTAATATCCACTGATTTATTAAAAAAAAAAGCATTCTGAGCCAGAAAGTAAAAGGACCATCATACGAATGGCTGTGAAGTTGAGAGCATAAAATAAGAGACTGAACCTGTAAACCCTAAACACGCGTCTCTAACTCTGAAGAAATACTGCTATGGTCTGAATGTTTGTGTCCCCCCTAATTCATTTGTTGAAATCCTAACCCTCAAAGGGTGATGGGATTAGGAGGTGGAGGCTTTGGGGGGTGCTTAAGTCACAAGGGAGGAACCCACAAGAATGGGATTAGTGCTTTATAACGAGGCTCCAGAGCCCCTAGTCCTTCCACCACAGGAGAACACAGACAGAAGGCACTGTCCAGGAACCAGAAAGTAGGCTCTAAACAGACACCACTCTGAATCTGGCAGTGCCTCTTGGACTTCCCAGCACCCAAACTGTGAGAAACAAATTTCTGTTGTTTATAAGCTACCCAGTCTGTGGTTTCTTGCTATTGCTATAGCAATAGCTATAGCAATGGACTACAGACAAGTACATTTTTCTATTCCTGGAATACTCCTTTTCTCAATATACTTTTCAAGGTATATTATGTCCTCATCACCACTTGGTGCTTCTTTAAGTAACAGTCAACAGACTGCTGATCTAACAATTTACAAATGAATTTGCCAAACAAAATGCAAAATATGGGGCCAGCCCTGTGCCTTAGCGGTTAAGTACGTGCGCTCCGCTACTGGCAGCCCAGGTTCAGATCCCGGGTGCACACCGACGCACCGCTTCTCCAGCCATGCTGAGGCCAAGTCCCACATGCAGCAACTAGAAGGATGTACAGCTATGACATACAACTATCTACTGGGGCTTTGGGGGCAAAAAAAAAAAGGGAGGAGGATTGGCAATAGATGTTAGCTCAGAGCTGGTCTTCCTCAGCAAAAAGAGGAGGATTAGCACGGATGTTAGCTCAGGGCTGATCTTCCTCACAAAAAAAGGAAAAAAAATGCACAATATAAAATAATTTTATTACCTTCTCCAGTGACAGAATCTCAGTCTTCTGATAAAGCTGTCTGTTCTGGGAAAGAAAGGCCACCACCTGCATCAAAGCCTGCTGACTACAATTCAGACTGATCCGCGTCTGTTCTTCATCATCAGTCCTAGCAAAAAAGTCACTTGTTGGTTTAGGATAAATATAAACAAAATGTATTTTTAATATTCCACAGTTCACAACCTCCTATAACAGATTAGATTTATATGGATTTTAGGATTTAACCCTAAACCAATTTATTTTCTAAAATAGTTTCTCAAACTGTAGCATGCATCAAAATCACCTCATGGGCTTATTAAGACAGACTGCTGGGCTCCGCCCCCAGTTTCTGATTCAGATATCAGTGGGGTCTGAGAATTTACCTTTCCAACAAGTTCCAGGTGATACTCATGTTGCTGGTCCAGGGACCTCTCTTTGAAACCACTGTTCTAGATCTGTTCTTAATCCGGTTGTGCAAAAGAAATCTCCTACTAGCTTCTTAAAATGACAGCTACTGGACTCTTCTACAGATCCAGTGAAACAGAACATCTATGAATGGGGCTGGGACAAACTGAATTTTCTTAAAACCCTAGAGAAGTTAATTTTCAAACATGATTGAATACAAGAATCTCCTTGACAGACTGTCAGGCAAACCCCATTCTAATTACATAGATCTAGGATGAAGCCAAAAATCTGCGTTTTTCATAAGCACCCCATTAACAACGATGCAGAGGGTCCCTGAATCACCCTCTGAGAAGCAATGCCCTGGAGCCTCTCCAAAGACTGGCATCAAGAAAGTTTTGTATTTAACTATAAACTCTAAATATAACTGTAGAATTCTAGAACTAAAAGACACCTTACATGATAATTTGGAAGTGTAGATGTCAACACTGCAATCATCTGCACGGGATTTGAAAAGAAAAAGGGAAAACAATGCCTGGACCCCAATCTAATGGCAAAACCCAGATATTATCTGGAAAAACTGGAACCAAACTAAATGTGCATCAGTTAAAAAAAGGTCCATAAGTGAGGAAGAGGAACACTTAAAGAAACTACAGCACATCCATAACAAGAAACACTACACAGCAGGTAAAAAGAAAAAGATCTTATATACCTATACTCTGTAAGATCCCTGACACACCTTGTTAAGTTAAAAAAGGCAAACACAGCATACCATTGAATTAAGAAAACAATGAATAAAACAAAACTACGCGTTTCTTCATGTCCCAATACGTGTTTGGAAAGACACCCACTTCTCTGAAAACAAAGAAGATGACTTGAGTTGAAGATACTGGGATTGAGCAGAGGGGACAAGGAGGACTTTTGTACTGTCTGAATTTTTCATGCTTTATTTGTATAATTTTCTTTTAATTTCAGTATTTACACAGTATTTCGTAGGGAAAAAGACATACATGACTGGAATCTATGCAAAATACTATAAATAATTTTTCTTGAGATTCTTGAAATTACCTTACTGTAAGGTGTCTATAATCTATACTTAAAAACCACTCATCAGAGTCACTCTTTGGTGTAGCCTGATAGATTTCCATTTTATTAAAAAGTCATTATATTTATCTTTGTTTTTTAAACAATTATTAAGTCCTAGCTTTGCATAACTTATCTTTTATGATGCTTCAATAAGTATTAGGAGAAATCAGCATAAAAGAAATTCTCCTATGAGGCAACATTTTGGTATCTCTGCCCTAAATAACTAAGTGATTGACCTCCTAAGGGGCACTTGAATGCATTTTTCCTTTAAAGTGCTTGGGAATCCCTGATGTGCTGGGAACTGATCAGAAGAAACCTCCGTTCTCAGTGTATCACTAGGGTCTACCTATAGGCCCTAAAGTACAAACGACTCGCTGTCGACATCACCAGGAGGATCGGTAACAATGCATGTAAAACGAGTAGTGTAGTCCCTCTCGCAGGGAAAACAGTCAGTAGTGTTACTTATCATTTTTATTGTTGTGAAAAGATCCCACAGTTCTCCTTCTTGAGGACCCACATGCAAATGTGAGGCACGCTGCTTTGTAAACTCACCCCGGGAAAACAATGTTTCAAACCTAAATATCAGGGTCATAGAATTTCTAAAGATGATCCTTACAAATAAATACACGCAAAAAAGAGAAAAATATATTGTACCTAGCAGAAAAAGAAGTGACAGAAACACCTGCAATTCCTTTCACTGCAGAAATGACTTTGTCCAGGTCTTGGGTGTGGCTAACACTGAATTCTACTCTGTGTGTTCCCTCCGCAGGGCAGCTGGGAGCTTTGGAAGGATGTATGGGCCTGGAGGTGCAAGTTCCTAGAAAAAAAATTGTGAGGAAATGGAGTTTTTGTGTTTTTTTAATTAAAACATAAACTATTATGGTCAAAATTTAATGAATATTGTTTTAAAGATTCGTTCTCAGATGCTTATATAACATACACACATATATATATCCCTTACATATACACCCAACAGAGCCCCTTCATCTAGGGATGTAGTATGGACATACAAAATCAAATTTATTTTCAGAATTATTTTCCAGAAGACTCTTCAACATCAAAATACTTGGACAGGGCCGGCCCCATGGCTTAGCGGTTAAGTGCACGCGCTCCGCTACTGGCGGCCTGGGTTCGGATCCCAGGCGTGCACTGACACACCGCTTCTCCGGCCATGCTGAGGCCGCGTCCCACATACAGCAACTAGAAGGATGTGCAACTATGACATACAACGATCTACTGGGGCTTTGGGGAAAAAGAAAGAAATAAATAAAATTATTTAAACAAAAAAAATAAATAAAAAAAAATACTTGGACAAGACTAACTCATGAATTTTTAGATGATATACAGAATTGTGACTGCTTACTAAATTTACTCATGTAAACCATGATTCAAGTTACAAATGCTCATAAACTACCTGACCACATTAATCCAGATTATATCATCATAAAAGCTTCAACCCAAAATGAGTAAACTAAAAAGACATACTAAAAATAAAGCTAAAAGACATATGCTGAATTCCCTCATTGTGCTGCGCATAAGTAAGCATTCAATAAACTCTGATGTCTACTTGACTGACATTATGAAGCATATTCTGAAGGGGTCTGAGCTTTCAACTCAATTGAACAAGCATTTCTGGAGTGCCTGGGTGCTAGGCACTGTGCCACATGAGTGAGGACCCACGAAGCTCAGTCCAGAATGAGGATTTCCCACACTCTCCTTATTCATTAAGGATAAAAATCTCATTTTTCAAATGCAATTTAATCGCCAGATTTCAGCAACATTATTCTTAAATATATAAAAATAGAATAATGGTCCCCACCCCTAAAGCAGTTCAAACTCTATAGGAAAGACATTCTAAAATTTTAAAGTATTTGTAGGGAAAAATTTTTTTTTTTTTTTGTGAGGAGGACTAGCCCTAGCTAACATCTGATGCCAATCCTCCCCTTTTTTCTTGAGGAAGATTAGCCCTGAGCTAACATCTGTGGCCATCTTCCTCTACTTTATATGGGACGCTGCCACAGCATGGTTTAACAAGCAGTGTGTTGGTGCGCACCCAAGATCCAAACCTGTGAACCCCGGGCCGCCACAGCGGAGCGCGTGCACTTAACTGCTTGCGCCACCGGGCCGGCCCTGTAGGAAAAATATTAAACATGAAAGAACAAGAGGCTTCTCACCAAGCCCTTTAGCCAACCAGGTGTTGACTCCCTGGGGTGCAGCATCATAGGCTGTGTGAGGAGAGTAAATCCCGACTCTGTTCTCCAGAGCCCGGATCACCAGGCGCTCCTTCCAGGTTTTCCAGGTCACGTGCTTCAGGGGTCTGAAGATAGGTGGGTGGTAAGAGAGAATGAGATCTGCCTTCTTCTGCAGCGCCTCCTCCATCACTTCCTCGGTCAAGTCATTGGTCAGGAGGAGTGTGTTTACAGTGTGTGGTGGGCTTGGTTCCACCAGTAATCCAACATTGTCCCAACTCTCAGCAAACGATAGGGATGCAAAGTCATTCAAGGAGGAAAGGAGAGCCTTCAAATCCATGAAGGAACGGGAAGAACTGCAGACCAGGGAACCGACCAGCCGAACTGCCGTGGGGACCAGGCGTACACAAGATGACAACATACAGGAATCAGGTAAAACTGAGTATCTGGAGTCAAAACACAGACAGTGGTACACCTGTACACCTTAGGCCCGGACCTTTGAGGCAGCAAAGCATACAGGCAAAAGTGCTGTAGTCACAAATACACGGGTTCAAATACTGGCTCTGCCACTTACTAGCAGGTGGAATCTTAGCTAAGTCATTTAATCTCTCTGAGCTTGTTTTCTCATCTACAAAAGGGAGACACCATAACCTCACAGGCCATCAGAGGAGCAAATGGATTAACATGTGTAAGTCACCTAGCACAAACCTGGTACATAACACACAAGTGTTCATTCCCTCCTCCCCAGCCCCACCCTTGCTTCAACTACCCTCCTCTCTTCTCCATTTCTCTAAATACTACCCTTCTTTCCAAGTCCCCCTCAACTTCCTAAATAAAGCTTTTCTTGACAAACCTTCCTTTTCAGTGGCTCCCCACCTCACTGCCCTCTGCCCTGGTATTCTCAGAATGTTATATTTCTGCTCCTCTGTCTCCCCCAGTCTGCTAAAGCTACCAGAGAACAGGAACTAGCTTTTATACATCTCAGTGTCAGCAACACAGGCCAGCACTAAACGCTTGCTAAACAGACTGACACTCCCCCCCTCCCCCACCTCAGCAGAATTTGGAGTTAGGGTGGTATATATTGCCATTAAAAAATGTTTTACCAAAAAAACAATAAAATATTTTTCAAAAGTTAAGTGCTTTATCAGCAGCCAGAGTCACGGGATGCATAGGTGGGTCATGTCACCAATGGGCAGCAAGGCTGCTGCCCCGGAACCAACCGTTACAGGAAGGCCAGGCTCAAGGGGTGGGAGAGGCAGCGGTGTAGGGCACTTTGCCCACACAGTCTGCAAGCCTTTCAGACGTCTACATCCAATCCAAAAGACAGCACTGTCAACACCATTCTCCCATTTAGTATCAATGAAGATTTCTGTTTTTGAAGAAAAGCATTTCACAGTATGCACAATAATTAGCAAGACAGCACAGCCAATTGTAAATTTAATGAAATACTCATAGCCCAATGATTTCAAAAGCAAATTTTTTCCAACAGTTCTACAGCCAAAATAGTTAATACGAGATGTACTTATTCAATATATGATTTGTGACGTGGAGCCTCCAAACCCACTCGAGCCTGGGGTCTTGAGAGGTCTTCTAATGGTCCTTATACCACTTCCACTCTCCAGATTCCCCGTCCTGACACTACTCCACTCTCCAGACTCTTCTAAATATGGCAAGCGCCAAAGTGAGGCTCTAGTGGGCCGCCACGCCCACTAGAGAATCTGAGTTATCTACTGTCCTACCCGAAAGAGCCCCTGGCGAGAAGAGAACACGCACCACTTCACAGATTAGGAAACTGGGACGCGGCGCAGCTTGAAGCCACAATTAACAACGGGAGGCGGCATAGCATGGTGGGTAAGAGCACCGACTCCAAAACCAGACTGCCTCCCAAGGCCACAGCTGCGCAACTCATCACTTAACCTCGGCGGTTTCCGCCGCTGAAGGATGGAGAGTGCCCAGCCCACTGCGCTGTCGCGAGAGTATCCGGGCAGCCGGGAACAATGCCGGGCCTAGAGCCAGCACTGACTGTTAACGTTAAGTAACATTAGTAGGGCCCCTTTTACAGCCTGCAAACTGCACCCTCTCCCCTCATCTACCTCATTTCAGTCCCCCTTCAGGCCTCTTCCAGGACAACGAAGAGCCCCGGTGGCACGGGTAAGCCCGAGGCAGGGCCGCTGCCCCACAGGTGCCCTGCGCTCCCGCGCGGGGAGCCAGTTTTCCGCCCCCATCTCCGCTGCAGCACCTCTATGACAGCCACAGCCCGCACGAATCGCGCCGGCCTCGACGGCCTCGGCCACCCACGCGGGAACCAAGATCACCCGACTCACCGGCCCCGGGTGCGCTTCTCTTGCGTCACGTCCGGTCCTGCGCGGAACCTCCTGGCGTGTGGGAATAGGCAGAGGGACAAGCGGCCGGAAGTGCTCTTCCCGTTTTACGTCTGAGCCCATGACGCTTCTGAAGGTTGCCCAGAATAGTTCCAGGTTACGGTTCTTGTCCTCGTGTAATTATTAGAAGAGTTCCCTTTCACTGTCGAAAGTGTTCCAGGTGCGGATAAATGACATTGTCTCTCTAGGTCTAGTCCTTTTGTTTTGAGATAGGGAGGAGCGGGGAGGGAGAAGGAGGCGAGCAGGTGAGCGGCGTTCTCTCTAGTGGGTCCCGTACTCGACTTCCGGTGACCCGAAGAAACTAATTTCGAGTCGACAGACCCGTGCGGGCGTCGTTTTAAGTTTTAACAACTGTGCTAACCGAAGTGCTTAAGTACGTACGCGGTAACGTCGCTCATTCTTTCATGCGCTTATTCAGACCCGTGCTGAGCGCTGTGTGTGTTAGTTCTTGGGCTGCTTGAGTGAGCATTCTGGGCGGGGAGGCGTTGTTGAAAAGACAGACTTAATCAAGTGTGTGTTGTATTAGTGTAAGTGCTGTGGGAAAAGGACACAGGGCAGGAACTAGGGTGGAGGCAGTTTTGAATCGAGTTGTCGGGCCACGGAGACCTGACTCTTGGGCAGGCTTGGCGGTGAGGAAGGCAGCCGTAGAGGTGTTCGAGTGGCAGCGTTCCGGGCGGCGGGAACGCCCAGCGCGCAGACCCCAGGGCGGGGATGTCCCTGGCTTGTCGGGGATTGCAGGAGGATCCTGAAGGAGAGTGAGCAGAAGTAGGCGATTGAGGGGCTTGAGTCTGGTAGGAGCTCCTCATCCCTTGCATAGCCGTATTTTTATTACTTGGGGGGTGCTCTCAAGACTTTTTCTTTTAAATATGCAGTCAAGATGAGCATGTGTGAGTTCAGAGAAGGTGAACTTAATTTTTTTTCTTTTGGGAATAGAGACTCATTTTCGAACTTCTCTCGATAAGACTGAAAAATTACATAACAGTGCTTCCTGAAACCATCAAGAAGAAAAATGGTAAGTTTTATGGAATTCTTATGAATGTCTTTCAGTATAAGTAATTTCTAGAAGGTCAGCCAAGGGAAATAAAACTGCATGGAAATTTCAATGGCAAGATGGAAAAATGATAAGCTGTAGAAGCATACAGTGTAAAATGATTCTAAGCAAAACAGAAATAAGCAAAATTACTTTTAAATTTTTTATTTTCACTTAAACCATACAGAATTTATCTTTTATGGAAAAAGACTGATTGCAAGATAGATAGAGATGGAAAGGGGGACTTGGAAGAGCAGAAGAGTGTAGCCAGGTGTGATAATTTTAATTGAATCCTTTTGCTGTGGACTAAGGTGGGCAACTAGAGCTTGAAGTAGAAGAAAAGCAATGAGAATAATGCCCTGCCCACCGCCCCCCAACACACACACACTCCTGTCCTCTGCCTGGCCATACTCTCTGACTGCTAGATTCTACTGTAAGAAGAAATGAAAACGGAAGCCTCAGGATAGTTTTCCCCCTGTCTGGAATGGGGTAACAAAAAGAGTAGGTAAGCTACCAAAACAACAGATAAACAAAAAGCAGGCAAGAAAGAGTACATGGTTACCTCTGCATATTTAGGATCTGGAAGCACTGACACTTTTTATGTCTGTTGTCTTTAGTTGAGAAAGGAATTGTTTTTAACCCTGTCTCTCGCAATTAAATTACATTAAGGGAAATGGTGAAAACTTTTGAAAAATCATTTCCTTATTATTTTTCAACAAATACTAATAATATAAGTGAATTGCCATTTAATCAATAATACTAACATAAGAATTGTTTTTATTTTTATTGATGAAAAATTCAAACTTAAATTAATTATTTCCATCATAATACTTGCTCCCAAGTTTTTAGACTAGATATCATTTTACCTTAGTATTTATATTTATCTTATGGAGTTTTTTTCTATTGCTGATATAAATTTTGAAGAAATACATCTGGGGCTGGCCCTGTGGCTTATCGGTTAAGTGCACACGCTCCACTACTGGCGGCCTGGGTTCGGATCCAGGCGAGCACCGACGCGCTGCTTGTCCGGCCATGCTGAGGTGGCGTCCCACATACAGCTTCTAGAAGGATGTGCAACTATGACGTACAACTATCTACTGGGGCTTTGGGGAGAAAAAGGGAAAAAAAAAAAAAAGGAGGATTGGCAATAGATGTTAGCTCAGGGCCAGTCTTCCTCAGCAAAAAAAAAAAAAAAAAAGGAGGATTGGCATGGATGGTAGCTCAGGGCTGATCTTCCTCAAAAAAATAAAAAAAGAAGAAGAAGAAATACATCTTGTCTCTCAGAGCTGCTATGTGGGTGGTTCATCTCTGAAACCGTATTTCTTTCTCTCTGCTTTTATTCAGTTTGTCATCTTTAATATCTAGTTAGGGAAATCATATAGTGCATAAGGTCACCTGAAAAAATTTTGTTTGTTCTCACATCCTCTCTCCTTTTTAGTCGGTGACACTGCATACAGATGTAGGTGATATTAAAATAGAAGTCTTCTGTGAAAGGACACCTAAAACATGTGAAGTGAGTACCATTATGTACATAAAAAAGTGAGTTAATGCAACAGGATAACCATTTTGAAATTGAATCATCTAACTTAAGAAAACAACGACATCCAAAAAAAACTTTTCTTTCTTTCTTTCTTTCTTTTTTTTTTTTTGCTCAGGAAGATTCACTCTGAGCTAACATCTGTTGCCAATCTTCCTCTTTTTGCTTGGGGAATATTGGCCCTGAGCTAACATCTGTGCCAGTCTTCTTCTTTTTTTTATGTGGGTCGCCACCACAGCATGGCCACCAACGAGTGGTGTAGGTCCACGCCCAGGAACTGAACCTGGGCCACTGAAGCGGAGCGCACCGAACTCAACTACTGGGCTATGGGGCCAGCCCCCGCAAAAAATTTTTCTATAAAACCATTGTTAGCGGGCTGGCCCTGTGGTGTAGTGGTTAAGTGCGCATGCTCTGCTGCTGGCGGCCTGGGTTCAGATCCCGGGTGCGCACCGATGCACTGCTTGTCAGGCCATGCTGTGGCAGCATCCCATATAAAGTGGAGGAATATGGGCACAGATGTTAGCCCAGGGCCAGTCTTCCTCAGCACAAAGAGGAGGATTGGCATTGGATGGTAGCTCAGGACTGATCTTCCTCACAAAAAAAAAAAAAAAGAAAGAAAAGGAGAAATAATTTTTCTCCAGGTATAGAGTGCCTGGTATCTTTTCCTTTTGGCTCATTTTCCTCAGGAAACGTAAATAATCATTGGAAATTAGGTAAGAGAACTGTTCCATACGTCATTTCACTTGTTTAAATGACAAGGATAGAAGGAAGAAGAGTTGGCTATATATAGTCATTCCCTCAGCATTCATTTATAAAAGGCTGTCTTGCTAGCGTTTGGGAATACAGTGATGAACAAGAGACATTGTGGAGTTTGGACCTGTCGGCATTGGCTTCTTGGAGTTAATATTCTGGCTGGGAAAATAGGCAGGGGAAAAATGCATTCTAGAAAAAAAGTAATTCTAGAGGGTGATATTGTCTTGAAGGAAATAAAGTGTTAAGATTGAGAATAATGGGAAAGGAATTATTTAAAAGAAGGTGAGGGCAGGCCAAAGTCAAGCAAGTGATACTTAAACTTAGTGTGAAAGGTAATGAAGGCATCTCCAATGGAAAGATATAAAAAGAACACTGCAGGTGTGAAGAGAGCAGGTACAAAGTCCTCCAGGTAGGGAAGCCTGCTTCTTTTGGATGACTTTTCAGGAGGCTGATGGGGTTACCATAGTGAGCAACAGGGAATAGGTTATCATCATCTGAGATGCAGAGGTGGCCCAGGTCATGAACAGCTTGTTGGGCCTGCTGAGGATTTTGTATTTTATTCCAAGAACAAACGGAAGCCATTAAAGTGTTTTAGGCAGGGGAGTGACATTATCCAAAATAACGTCTAAAAGACATAGTTTAGGGGCCAGCCCGGTGGCGTAGCAGTTAAGTGCTCGCGTTCTGCTGCAGCGGCTCGGGGTTCGGATCCCGGTCGTGCACCGATGCACCGCTTGTCAAGCCATGCTGTGGCCATGTCCCATATAAAGTAGAGGAGGATGGGCACGGATGTTAGCCCAAGGCCACTATTCCTCAGCAAAAAAAATAGGAGGATTGGCAGATATTAGCTCAGGGCTGATCTTCCTCACAAAAAAAATAAATAAAAGACATAGTTTAAATATGCTATTATAGTGTTTTCAGTAAAGACAGTTGGTTCTTTATCTTAAATGTGTTTCTGCTATATCATTTCTCAATCATTATTTTTATTCTCTTCAGAATTTCTTGGCTCTTTGTGCCAGTAATTACTACAATGGCTGTATATTTCATAGAAATATCAAGGGTTTCATGGTTCAAACAGGAGATCCGACAGGTAAGATATTCCATTCATATCTAGGGAATTGGTTATATAGTATGAAGAAGAGAGGAGAGAAAGATTAGAAAAATAAAAGCATGCAGAGTTTTTATAACTGGTCTACCTTACCACAGCAAGAAACTTTTAAGCGGAAACTACTAGCACCTAGCCCTAAAATATGACCACTACTGATAAGGAGAGTTTTTGTTTTTTGTAGAGATATTTTATTTTTCTGGTCTGTAAAGTGAAATTTTGGGAAGGAAGAGAGGCCATATCACATTTTTTTTGTATTTAAAGAGTTAAACAAGGGCCGGCGCCATGGCTTAGTGGTTAAGTGCGCGCACTCCGCTGCTGGTGGCCCGGGTTTGGATCCCGGGCGCGCACCGACGCACCGCCTCTCCGGCCATGTTCAGGCCGTGTCCCACATACAGCAACTAGAAGGATGTGCAGCTGTGATGTACAACTCTCTACTGGGGCTTTGGGGGAAAAATAAATTAATTAATTAAAAAAAAAAAGAGTTAAACTAGCCCTTAAGTTTTAGAAAATGAACCCTTTTTCAACTTGAGAGACTTCTTTTGTTTGTCTTGTAATATAGGTACTGGAAGAGGAGGTAACAGTATCTGGGGCAAGAAATTTGAGGATGAATACAGTGAATATCTTAAGGTATATCCCCAGTGCTTCAAAATCTATTTTCTCATGCCTTGTTTACACTTGGAAACTTTGATACATATGTTGTAGTAAGACAAGTAAACATCATCAGTAAACAAATACACTTTTTTTTTATAGTTTTTCCACACTTCATAAGTGATGTCAGGGAGAAAATATAAATGGCAGTTCTAGCCTAAAATATATACTGGAATCTCACCATTACATGGATCTTCATATTAGGTGAGCTTATCTTTGGGTCCAACCTGAAATGTTTAATCAGTAATGTACCAAAGGGGCTTAATGTCTCACTATAAAGTTCATGTTTTCTATGAATCACTAGCCTTTTTGAGAGTGGGGGGGAAAGACTATCATACCTTCTGCTTATAATATTGTTCATTATCAATCTCCAACTTTTATCATCTTCTGTTAGATGTTTGAATATTCCGGTATTAACTTTACCTAATGCCTGTGGTAGATCTCAACTAGGTTAAAGAGAAGTGCATATAAATAAACCTTCAGCATGGTAAAATTAGGTGTTTTTATTTCCTTTGTCATATTTTTTCTGTATTTTTCAAACTTTCTAAAGAATCTTTTTTTCTAAAATAGGAAAACTAATGCATGCCTATTTGAAAAAGATAACTTCAAAATTAGAAAAAAGAGATAAATTATCCTCAATGAGAATATGTAATTTAGTATATTGAATTTCAGTTATATTAAAATATACCTAGCAAAAATTCTGAGAAAAATTCATTACAGTGTTTATCTCTGGATGGTAGGACTAGGAGTAATTTATTTTATCTTCTTTTTTTTTTTCTTCCTCAAAGCCCCAGTACATAGTTGTATATTCTAGCTGTAAGTCCTTCTAATTCTTCTATGTGAGCCGCCACCACAGCATGGCTACTGACAGACAAGTGGTGTGGTTCCGCGCCCGGGAACCAAACCTGGGCCCCTGAAGTGGAGTGCACCGAACTTTAACCACTAGGCCATCACTGCTGGCTCTATCTTATCTTCTTTTTGCTTTTCTGTCATAAAGAAATATTACTTTTGTTACAGGAGTTGGGGTTTGGGAGGTGATAAATTGTTTAAAAAAATCCTTTTCCTGAATTAGAAAAGAAACAATTTTTTAGGCATTAATTAATGACTGCCTCCATAACACTAATCTGGTTTCCTACACCATTGGTTTTCAATCTTGGCTGTTAGAGACTCACCTGTGGAAGTTTTAAAAATAGAATAGGGCCTTACCCGCCTAAATCTAAAGAAAAACAGTCAGTAGGACTGATTAGGACCTTGCATGTATGTTAAGGTTCCCTGGTGATTCCTATGCAGCCAGAGTTATGAACCATTATCTTATACAGCAGAGTTGAGGAGGTATGTTGAATATTTACATACTCTGACCCAGAAATTCCATTCCCAAATGCTTACCCTAGAGAAACCTTATACATGTGCACTAGGAGACATGTACAAGAGTGTTTGTAGAGTACTACTTGTAATAACAAAAATGTAAAAACAACCCAAGTGTCCATTGATCACAGAATAGACAAATTGTAGTATATTCAGTAGTAGAATATTATACAGCAGTAAAAAAAAAATCAATTACAGCTGCATACACGTGTGAATCTAAGAAGCATCAAGTTAAGTGTAGAAAGCATTTCTCAGAAGACCGTCAATACTACTATACGATTTCGTAGCGCTCAGAAACAAGCAAAAGGAAACAATGTATTGTTTAGGCATCTATAAAGATATTAGAACAGTGGCTACCTCTTGGAGAGGCTGCGGTAATAGCTGAGGGGAGCACATAGGCTTATGCAACAGTTTGTAAATTTTAATTCTTAAAAGTTTGGAAATAGGTTAATGGGTAATAGTAAGTCATAAGTAGTACATATATTCTTATGTATGTATCAAATGTTGTATTGGATTGGAGTCATCTTTTAGGGAGAGTAAGCATCACTATCTTGATGTAGCAGCATCTCTGTGGATTGCCTCATTAGTGTCCCCTGATGAATAGCTAAAGGTAGAGTAATCGTTGGAGCTACTTGTGGTGTATTTTATATTTGGGCCCCTCCCTGTAACACGGTTCCGTCACATCAAGCTTACTGGTAAAGTCCTTTTAATTCCTGTACACAGTCCCTCATATAACAAATAGAATCATGAATATTAGAGCTAGACAAGACCTTCCTGAGATCATCCAGTCATGGGGTTATGAACTGACTGCCCATGGGTGGAAGATCTACAGATGCATTCTTTGTGGCCATTGGTTAAAAAAAATTTGTAAAGGCAAGAAATATACTATTCCTTTTACCAAACTCCACCACTCCCTAATGTTTACATTCTGCCCAATTATCAATTTATTATCAGCTGACCCTTGTGAGCATTTGGGTTACAAATAAACCCCTGAACCAGTCCAACCTCCCTTGTTTTACAGATAAAGAAACTAGCCAGAGTCCAGTGTATGTGTGAAGAGATTATGGGGATTTTGGTTTTGTTGTCTGCCTGATCGTTTCATGCCAGCACACTGTTCCTTAATATAAATGTAAGGATTATTTCTGTTATACATTGGTATTGCTAAAAGTGTTTGTGGCCGTACTTCTCCAAAGTGAAAATGAAACTAATTGGGAAATAATGATTTGATATGTAAACAGTTTACATACAGAGATACAGATAATACAGAAACTGAAGATTTGGATTAGCCCTTATAGGGAGAAGCTGATTAAATGCTTTCTTGGTCCCTTAAATATTGGGAAAGTAAAGAGTGCATGTCTTGTGTCAGTCCTACATTTGGAATATTTATATAAAAACACAGTTAAATTAATACTTTGGTCTGTTTTTTTCAGCACAGTGTTAGAGGTGTTGTATCTATGGCTAATAATGGCCCCAACACCAATGGATCTCAGTTCTTCATCACCTACGGCAAGCAGCCACATTTGGACATGAAATACACAGTATTTGGAAAGTGAGTATTCTGGTGATGATTTTCTTCTTTGGAATTTGAATGCAAAGGATGCATGTGAGTGGCTGTGATAGTAGCATAACTAATGTTGAAAGAGCAGTATGAGGGCTAAACATACCTAGAATTTAAGTCTACCACTCACCAGCCCTGTGCCTTGGGGAGACTTATAACCTCTCTGAGCCTCAGTTTCCTTGTTTGTAAAAGAGGGGCCAGGACTGTTTTTTCAGGATCGTTATGCAAGTTAACAGTAATGTATCTGTTTTCATTAAGAATAGCATCTTGCTGGGGCCGGCCTGGTGGCGCAAGCGGTTAAATGCACGTGCTCCGCTGTGGCGGCCTGGGGTTCGCCGGTTCGGATCCCGGCCGCACACCGACACACTGCTTGGTGAGCCGTGCTGTGGCAGCATCCCATATAAAGTGGAGGAAGATGGGCACCAATGTTGGTCCAGGGCCAGTCTTCCTCAGCAAAAAAAACAGGCGGATTGGCGGATGTTGGCACAGGGCTGAGCTCCTCACCAAAAAAAGAAAGAAAGACTAGCATCTTGCAGCAACTAATAGAGCTGAAAAACAGTGTGTTAAACAAGATGGACTGGGATGGTGGTTGCATTATGTCACCAGTGTTCCAGGTGCCTTTGTCTCTCTTCTCAGTCACCTTTAGCTTCCATCCTCAGGCTCACCTCATGGTCATAATGTGAGCAGCACAGCTCCAGTCAGAACATCTGTGTTCCAGGCAGAAAGGAGGAGGAAAGGCAAAAGGTCCTTGCTAGCTGAGTCAGCCCCTTTTTAAAGACCTTTCCCGGAAGACCCTGAAGTTAGCAATGTGGCCTCCTCTTACCTACAAAGGAGGGTAGGAGATGTTTTTCAGCTGGACATCTTGCCCTTCTCAATAAAATCAGGTTTCTGTGAGTAAGAAGGGAGACTGGATCCTAGGAAGGTGTTCACCAGTCTGCCAGAATATCCATTACATGCACTATAGCTGGAAATTGCTTTTGTGAATCCACAGGAGGTCTGTTTGTCAACAAATATTCACTATGCTCAGTAAACTAAGGCACAGTTCCAGAGTTTGTTTTATTTAACAGTTTGGATGCCAAGTGAGATTAATTAGAAATAGAAGACTCGATAACTTTTTTCATTCCATATACATATGTCTAATTTATAGATGAATAATATCAGTGAAATTAATGAAGTATTACAGCCTTTAGTCGTTTTTGTGTATATGTGGATAATCCCGGTTCCCTTCCTTTTATTTTCTCATTTAACCCACCATTCAGAATTGTTGATCAATAATTACCAGGACTTATCTTACAGTATTTGTAACAAAACTGTAGAGTTTAGAACAAGGATTCTTAACCTCAGGTCCACAAACTGCTTGAAATTGTGTGTTTTTTGTATATGCACACACAGTTTTCTAGGAAGATGGTACATAGCCTTCCACTGGTTTTCAAAGGGGCCGGTATCCCAGGTGCCTGAGCAGACTGACTTGCCTCAGTTGACATGCCCTTTTTCGCCTGAGATCTATTCCTAGCTCCTCTGTTTCTCTTACTGACCCAGGAGGTGAGGAAGTCTTTAAAACTTAGAATAAAAGAGCTTAATTGTCCTACATTTGGGAGTAAAATCAAAAGGTTTTTGTTATAGTGCCATTTTAGTGGAGATGCTAAATAAAATGTAAATCTGTTATCTTTTTTTCTTAAGTGCATACTATAGGTCTGAAAATTGCTTTGAGTTGCACTAAAAGGTATAATCTAAAAAGCCACCTTTTCTTAGCAAATGTTTTAGACTGACTTTCCAGAACATCTTTGAAGGGTAGCTCTCAATATTTTGTTTTTGGTGGAAACATGAAGTGGGCTTGCTGGAAGTATGCTTGACTGTCTATCTTCTCTTCTCCTATTTTTATTATTATTGCTTTTTGTTGTTGTCCAGAAGCAAAAAGTAAAAACACCATATTTAAACAATAAAGTGCAAAGTGGCCACCCATCTCAGGACCTTCAGTATAGGGCAATACTGATAATAATAGTGTCATCCTTACGTGCTTTCTCCGGGTATTTCCTATACAAAAGAAAACCTTATGATTGGTAATATTGGCCCCATTTGTAGCTATGCTGTGTGAATGACACAGAATACAATGTTGAGATACTTTGGTGGATATATTCCTATCGCTACTGTTGTCAGAAGGCATAAAAATGAATTTTTGTTTCTGAATTTTGGCCCATATCTGTGGCAGAAAATCAAATCAATATTTGATTTGAACTCAACTAGGGAATTCAAAGAACTATGAGACATGATTATTTTCTCTTAAGGAGACTATAATTGCTATAGGAATTTGGATGCTATGTTTCAATATGAGGAAATTTTCATACATTCTATCGTTTCTCTTTCAGGGTGATAGATGGTCTGGAGACTCTAGATGAATTGGAGAAGTTACCAGTAAATGAGAAGACATATCGACCTCTTAATGATGTACACATTAAGGACATAACTATTCATGCCAACCCATTTGCTCAGTAGCTATAATAGACCTGGACAAATACTTGGCACACTATTTGAGGAACATACCCATTGTGGTTTACCCAGTTTTAATTATGTCAGAGATTGCATCATCCTTCTGCTTGTTTACAACTAAGATCTATGAGTTGGCAGTACCAAGGGGCTCCAAACAGCGTTTACTGCCATTCTTATAGCATATGCTTTACTATAACCATTATCCATGTATTTCTTTAAGTTTAAAAGAAAAAACCTTCCTGTTTAATTTTTGTTACATATAAACATTAATTTTTAAATGCTGAGGCTCAAATCCAGACGTTTTTGAACACCCTAATCACATACTCCTACCAGATCTAGTCCACATCCTGGAAGTATTATTTTCCATTACTTATTCACTTTGTGCAGTTAGAAAGAGGAAGGACAAGATAAAGAGATGGTCTAGAAAGGCCAGCCAATCCATTTGTTATTTTCTCCGGTCTTTAGATTTATAGGAAGGGCTCAGAGGAGTCCTGGAGTACAGTAAACACTCAGAATTCCCCAACCAATTTGCCCATGGAACATTTTTCTAAAGCGTATCTTTTAAAATATTGCAGGACAGAGTTTTACAGGTGATCCATTTGAAAAATGCAATTAGTTCATTAAAAGCAGCAGTTGTCGAGTCTTGGTCTGTGTTTGCATCACAGTTCTGCCCCCTACTAGTAACTTTGGGCACATTAACATCTCCAAGCTTTAGTTTTCTTTTCCATAAATAGTATTTCCTCATGAGACTATTGTGAGGAGTAAATGAAGTCAAGTGTGTAAAGCTTCTGGCATGTGGTAAGTGTTCTGTAGTAAGTAAATGGAAGCTGCTCTCCTACGTTATCTCCACCACAGGGCTCTCACCTTATCAGGCTCTACCACTGATTTCATCAAGGACCCTGTCCCACTCACTGCCTACAGATCACCTTCATTAGATTTAGGGTATTCCTGAAACTGATACCAAACATTTCTTGGTTTGTATCATTTCTGCAGGTGGCTGATCTAATTAATGTTTTAATTGTTAACTGTAGTTTGGGAGTTAGCTTGCAGCTATCCTCGTGTTACAACCATCTATACCTCCCTCTAAACTGAGGTGCCAATTATACTAATGCCCTCACATTTTGTTTCACCCTTTTAATTTAATCATTTAGTTTCTAGAAGTAGTATTAAAGCCTCTTTTTGGCCAGTTTGTTTTGCCACTTCTTATATTTGATATCTTTCTTCTCCAAACATGTCATGGAATTTTTTTTGTCATCGCTCTTAAGAGGTTTTTACTGATTGTCAGGATGTTTTTGTACTGACTGGCATTCCCTCAGTTTGTATTCTGAACTCTGCCACTTTCTTTTTTTGTGAGGAAGATCAGCCCTGAGCTAACATCCATGCCAATCCTCCTCTTTTTGCTGAGGAAGACTGGCCCTGAGCTAACGTCCGCGCCTATCTTCTTCCACCTTATGTGGGACACGGCCTCAGCATGGCCTGACAAGTGGTGCATCGGTGTGCGCCCAGGATCCAAACCCGGGCCGCCAGCAGCAGAGCACATGCACTTAACGCCATGCCACAGGGCTGGCCCCTGCCATTTTTTTTTTTAGTGGTGCCAATATGGTGACATTTTGGTTCTTAGAACTCATTCTAATGATGTGTGCTCCATTATAGCCATAAGGCTCTCACAGATAGGGAGGTATTCTGGCTGCCCACCTTGGGCCTATTGGGGGCACCGTGAGGATTAAGATCCAGAACATTGATTTCTCTCCACTCCCACTGAGTTGACTGGTTCACACTGATCACATTAGCAGTTGGGTGCCTGATGTTCAGTATAAACTACTTAGACTAGAATATTGCTGATCGACCCAAATTCTCTTTAAAAAGAAAGTAATATGGTTCCCCATCTAGACCAGAGATTGGTAAACTACAGCCCCCAGGTTGGCCACCTATTTTTGTAAATAACATCTTGGAACTCAGCCATTCCCATTTGTTTATTATTCTCTGGCTGTTTTGTGCTACAGCAGCAGTATTGATTAGTTGTGACAGACCAAATGGCCTACCAGCCTAAAGTATTTACTATCTGGCCCTTTAAGAAAAAGTTTGCCAACCCTTGATCCAGAAGTTGCCAGATAATCGTGGTTTCACAGCAAAGAGAGCTGGATGCGCCTAAGGGATAGTATAGTCAAACTATGCCTGAAACCTCCTTCACCACGCTAGAATTGTACCTGCACTTATCCATTTAGAATACTTGAGTCCTGTTAGATCTTGGTTTGGAGCTCTCTGTTGAGAAGAAGGCTTGAAGACCTTTTGGTTAATGGCAAATTGATTAGTTAAAATTTTATACCTTAGTTGAACTTGGGAATTTCCAAATCCACTTAGCAACACGTTTATAAGTTCTCTATGTTGAGTATTTCTGAAGATATGTATGCTCATCTATTTTTGTTTGAACAACTACACCTAGTACGGGCATACCTCGCTTTAGAGTGTTTTGCAGATAGTAATTAATTTATTGAGCTTCCTCCAGGCTTGGATACAAAGGTGCTTTGGACACTGCCGACTCTGCGGGAGCACAATCTAAGGAACTAACAGACATGTAAATAGATAAATTATAATACATAGAACTCAACTTTTAATCAGTTTAGCAAAGTGGATAGATTAGTTACTATTTCACTCGTGAATTGAAAAGAAAACTGATGGTTCTCTTCAATTCGACTTGTACCAATTGTGGTGGTAGAGGTAGTGATGGGACTCGATTTAATAATTCTAAAGCAAATCTAGAAGAATAAATACTGGAAATTAAAAAAAAAAATTACAGTGAAAAAGGAATTAGCCCCAATCTTTCTAAAGCTGCAAATATTAAAACTGTGGTAATGTGGGGGATAAGGCTAGAATAATAGAAGGGTATAAACAGTAGTATATACATAGGAGGTTAATATATAATTAAAGCAGTATCCAAAATCATTAAGAGATTATTCCATAAATTGTGTTAGGATAACTGGTAAATGATACGGAGAAAAATAGCAAAATAAATTCACCTCACATGATATACCAAAATTCCAGATGGATAAAAGTTGCCTTTTTAAAGAAAACACAGGAAAAACTTAAAACATTTTAAAGAATTTCTCTGAAGAGGAAAGGAATTTCTCAGTTTACAAACATGACAAAGGTAAAGATGGAACAGGTTTAACTACATGAAAATTGAAAACTCTTTTGCAATTAAAAAACTGAAAGGACAAAGAACTGTACATTCCAAAAAGCAATGGTGTGAATGGGCAAGTCACAAGAGAAAAGGGAAAATGTTCAACTTCACTAATTAGAAAAGTTTCAAGTTCAGTTTCTACCAAAGTAACATTTTTTAATGTTATACACTATATTCTTTTGTTAGGGCTGCCATAACAAAGTACCAGAGATTGGCTGGCTTAAACAACAGAAAATTTTCTCACGGTTTTAGAGACTAGAAGTTGGGAGATGAAGATTCTGGCAGGGTTGTTTACTCCGAGACCTCTCTCCTTGGTTTATAGATGATCATCTTCTGTCTTTACAGGGTCTTTCCTCTGTGCACTCGGGTGTCCTAATCTTGTACACCAGTCGTATTGGATTACGGTCCGCCCTACCTCATTTAATCTAATTACTTCTGTAAAGGCCCTACTTACAAGTACAACCACATTCTGAGCCAATAGAGTTAGGACTTAAACATGAATTTAGGGGGTATATAGCCCTCCAAACAGCCCATAACATGCACAAAAGGACACACTAAAATAGTTAATTTCATAAATGAAACTTTGGGTATATCTCAAATTAGTAATTGTCTGGATTTGGGCTTTGCTAAATTTAAAACCCTTTTGGAAAGCAATTTTGGCAATATGTACAAGATTTTTTCAATGTTCATTGTCTTTCATCCTGTAATTTTAGTGTGGGGATTTCTCCTAAAGAAATTATTTTAAATATACTAAATTGCTCTGTGCACAAGGTCGTTCACTGCAACTTTTACCTGTAACAGCAGAATAAGGTTGATGCTCATCTTGTAGATTGTTAGGATTGTGAGAAGTTATGCACAGTGCTTAGCACAATGATTGTGATTAGCTATGATCCTCCAGAGACTGGGATTCCCTAGGTTTGCTTAACATTTAAATGTGCTGCTAAATATATCCTGAATAGCTATAAATTTCATATAAATTTCACAAGTTACCGTCATGAATTTTTCCTTCTGTGAAATATTTACTTTATATTTAGTGATCCTGGCCCCGATGTAAGGATTTAGGTATTAATGGTTTTAAAGCATTTTCAGATCCATTAAGGGGCTAAAGAAATACAACCATAGGAATTTTGGGAATGTGTATTCCTCAACACTTTACCCTACAATAGTTGTGCATCTGAATAGGGAGGGTTGTCTGCGTTGCTCTCCTGTGCAAACATGACCAGTAAAATTATCCTTTATCGTAATGTGTGATAATTCTGTAGTGTTTTCCACTAAGTTTAGAATGAGTGAGGATTTTTTTCAAGCGACAAAAAATGGAGGAGGGCAGGGCGCGGGGGTCATCAGACGCGGCACTTTGTTCTTTCGAATTGCAGTTTGACGGTTTTTGCTGTTCAGAGGGCGTTTCCTGATACTCGTCTTTTCGTCACGACCTTCCGTTTCCCGGTTACAGTTTATTTGGCCTTAACGCAGAGGCCTCACTTAACGCGGAAGTGTTAACTTCCTGTCTCCAGGGTCCTGCTCACTCATTTCTTCAACTTCTAAAACCTTGGGGAAATCTTTCCAATCCAATTTCAGTGCGTGTGGGTCCCAGCCACTAGACGTAACTAGTTTAAATAAGTCCAAGACCCTTAGCAAAAGCCAAAATCCAGACAACTACTAATTGGGGGCTATTCGATGCAGGCAGTATAATTTGTTTTTAAAGCATTGTTTTGGTGGTTGCAATCAGGGCACAGGCTATTTTGCACCCTGCTTCCCTCATTTTCTCTTGTTTCTAGCGTCCACAAGTACGATTTTTAACGTGCATCGTCAAGACTTTTCCCCAGTATCTAACTTCTCTCACAACACAAATGGAGACGAGGGCCAACATGGCCGCCGACAAGAACCTCCTCGGTTCGTCTTCGCTCCTTCCGGCGCCTGCGCACTTGGCGCTCACGCCCCCCGCGTGCACGCGCAGCCCGCCCCGCCCCCCGTAGGAGACGCCCTCGCAGCGTCACCAGTGTTTTCGAGGAGAATCCCGACGCTGCGGCTGTCAGCTCCATTTTGTTGTCGGAGCTCGTCGCAGCCGGCTGGGTGCCCCGTGGTCGCGTTGCCAGCTTTGTCTGCTTCGGCCTGGACTCTCTGACCCGGACGGTAAGATGCAGGAGGACGCCAGCTAGGTGTCAGGGCCGTTTTCTGTGCCTCGAGGGCGCGTGGGGATGCCCCTCGCCGCGCTTCGCGGCCCGCAGTCTCCAGCGCGACGTTGCCCCCTCACCCGGCTGCACAGAGGCGGCCCGCTTGTCGGCCCTGCTCCGCCAGCCCTTCGCCGCGAGCGTCCTCAGTCGCGGCGCCCTGCGCCTGGCGAGGGCCGCGCTCACTGGGCGGGGAGCGCTCCGCGGACGCTCGCCCTCCTCTGGGGTGGGGGAGGGCCGGGCCCGCGGGCGCCATGTTGTCGGCGACGCCTGGGCTGAGCTGTAAGATGGCGGCGGCGCAGCGGGCGGGGAGGCGGGCGTTTGCTTGCGTTCTGGAATCTGCCTGCGTCACGGTCCTGTGAGGAACTGTGTCGGTGGCAAATGGTGAGAAAGACGGAGCGCGTTGATGTGTTGTAAGGCTTAACGTCTCGTTGAGTCTCAAAGGAGTCGAGTGAACACCGCTAGTCTGTGTTCCGGTCAGTGACGTTGACCAAAGGCAGGGTCAGGGACCGGGGAAGGAGAAGGAGCGCCGTGCATTTGAGGGGCGTGTGGGGGAGGCCGGGCGATCGCGCGTTTTATGCGTTGGAACTCCCCCTCCCCCCGCCCGCATCCTCTTGGGAACGATTGGAGCGTTTTGATTCCTTAGAGAGAGTGCAGGGACGAGCTGCAGTCGCGCGGTTAGGCCTGTCAGAGCGGTAGTTGAGGAAGAGCCATCTGTGTGGAGCGTCTTTTCCAAGTTTTTGGGGATTTTTGTTGGGAACATTTCTGAAAGGAGGATGGCTCTCCCCTCCCCCGAATTGTGTAAGACCGTTTTTAGGGGAGGGTGGGTTTTGTAATGGGTGGTACGTGCTGGGGAGGGGTGCTCGGGACGCTGGTTGTAATGCCGGCGTTGATTTGTGTGTAGTTTGGTCGACGGACCTCCTGTACAGACATACAATGACGGTTCCGTTGCGGAGAACCTGTATGAATGCTTTGAAGTTGGAGGCCGGTTTCTGAAACACGTTTAAATGGGGAGAATTACACATGTGGGCCTGTAGTAAAGTTGTCCTCCCGGCAGGAAACGAATAAGGTTTTACCAGAGTTGAGAATTAGGGATTCCCCCCCACGCTCATTTTTCTCTTCCTCCGTTCTTCCAGTAAATCCAAGCATGATATGGTTAATGCAGAATAAATATTCTGCATTATATTCACAGAATATATCTGTGAATAAAGTTCAGACTCACGTTATGGGACAACCCAGTCGTGGGTTTATCAGTGATTTCAGATTGGATGACAGTGGCTTTTGACCTTGTGATGTAAAGGAACAGCTTAAAACATCACAACTAGAGTGAATTTGCAAAGAAGAGTTTTGGTAACTGCTCAGTGTTGACACGTGGGACACAGTGTAACTGGGAAAAACTTGTTTTTTATGTAGATGAGACACTCAAAGAGAACTTATTGTTCTGATTGGGATGAAAAAGATTGGGATTATGGAAAATGGAGGAGCAGCAGCAGTCATAAAAGAAAGAAGAGATCACATAGCAGTGCCCGGGAGAACAAGCGCTGCAAATACAATCACTCTAAAACGTCTGACAGGTAAGGAGGGTGCTTAAAGCGTCTCAATGTAAAAACACGTTTTTACTACAATGTTGTATGTGGATATCTCAGTAAAACTGGGGGGACAACACGTTTTCATGATTAAAACTAGTATTAAAATTAAGTAACCGTGATTGCCATTCCTTTTTCCAATGATGGCTTGTAATGTTTGTAAAATGGTGTAGATTTTTTTGTTTGTGTTTCGATGGCGAAAGCATAAAATCTTATTAAGAGTACTGTCTTAAGAGATTTACTGAGAATTTGAGGATATTTGGATATGAGCATAAAGTGTTGAAAAAGTATTTGTTTTTCTAGCCATTATTTGGAAAGCAGATCCTTAAATGAGAAAGATTATCACAGTCGACGCTATGTTGATGAATATAGAAATGACTACAATCAAGGATGTGAACCTGGACATCACCATAGAGACCATGAGAGCAGATATCAGAATCATAGTAGCAAGTCCTCTGGTAGAAGTGGAAGAAGTAGTTATAAAAGCAAACACAGGATTCACCACAGTACTTCATATCATCGTTCACATGGGGTATGAGCTCTTTTAAAACATTTTGGAAATTTTATTTCCCATGTGGAACAGGAAAACTTGAATTTGTGTTTGATCATTTGAGAGAGTTCTGTTTAAGATGAAGTCACCTCAGTTTTAACTTGCAGGATCTGTCTGTGTTTGTGCATTGGCTAGAGAGTTCCTGAAATACAGTACATATTTAGTTATATAATAACAGGTTTTATTACTAGTTGGCAACTAATTGTCATTCCAGTGAAAGAGGGGAGGTAATTTAATTTAGGTTAGTTTAGAGCAATGATGACAAAATATTCTGAAAGATTTTTTTTAGGATACTTCCAGAAATCTGATTTGTTTTGATATATTGAAGCTTTATCACAAGAATAGAATAGATATTTGATTTTTGTATGATCCAGGATTAGGCGTGCTTCTTTGTTATAGCAAAGCATGCTCTAATCCTTTTTTTAGCTAAACCACTTAATGTATTTGAACATTATGGGTTACGTGTTAATTTGGAGATCAGCTCAGATGACATTTAAAATGCCGTAGTGTTATTCTTGTATGCTAAATCTTTTTTTATCCCCAAAATTAGGGCTTTAATTTTATTTACTGTTTTGATAATTTGTTTTCTTAGATTAGCTAGGGAATCTTAATTTGGCCACAGTCTACTTTGACAAGTAAATACTGCATCCTACAATTTTGCAACATTAAATTAGGACACTAGAAACTTAAAATTTATGTTTCAGTGAATGCTACGACTAGGCATTTTTTTTAAAAAAGAAAAACAATTGTGTTATGTTTTGTTGCCTTGCCACTTTGAGTATCTTATCTGAAAATCTGTTCCTTGCCATGTTTTTCTCCTGTTAACATAAACTATGTGCCCTGTGAATTTCTGGGGACTGAATTTGAAATTGCTCCTGCCAACCGTTTGTGGCCTGGCGTGTATCTGAATGCCTGAATATCTCCCCGCTGAATGAATTTCGTATTCTGCCCTGAATTCACTCGGGTATATTGATTGGCTGGATGATCTTGGTGCCGCCCACTTGACGTTCCCAGAAGAGTCACCGAAGGAAAAGAACCAGGAGTGTAGAGGATGATGAGGAGGGTCACCTGATCTGTCAGAGTGGAGACGTACTAAGTGCAAGATGTATAGAATATTTTTCAACACTTATTAACTTTTCAGATAACATAATCTATATATAGATTAAGATTTCAGGGATTTGGAAATCTTTTTTTCTTTCTCTGTTTTTTGTTTTGTTTTGTTTTGTTTTTTTCCCTTTCTTTTGGTGGGGGGGATTGTGTCTTTGCTTTCTTTAGAAATTTAATGTTTGTTATGCAAAACTTCCAAAACAGTAAATCAAGTTAATGAAATTAGCTTAAGAATGAAATTAGACCTAAAAATAGTTATATATATTTTTTGACGGTGTTGACCAATAAAATATCTAGTGATAAGGAAATTTGTAGCAGCAACTAGATATCTGCATTGATAGCATTTATGATAAGTAAACTGTTTCCACTTCTTGGTATGACTGAGATTTATTTCTCTCTTTTAGATGAAATTGTTGATACTTTAGGTGAAGGAGCTTTTGGAAAAGTTGTGGAGTGCATTGATCATAAAGCGTAAGTTTCCTAGCTGGGGATTGCATTTGGGAGGTCAACAATACAGAAAATTTATTTAGCTTTAGAATGTCATCTGACCATGAGTTATAGATAATCATGATACAGTCATGTGTTGCTTAACAAAGGGGATATGTTCTGAGAAATGTGTCATTAAGCAATTTCATCATTTTGTGAACATCATAGAGTGTACTTACACAAACCTAGATGGTGTAGCCTACTGCACACCTGGGCTATGTGGTACTAATCTCATGGGACTACCATCATATATGCTGTCCGTCATTGACCAAATCATTGCTATGCGATGCATGACCATGCCCTTTTAGCTTAAGTTTGTGACTTGGATGTAGGAAAAGCCCAGTAAAAGGTACTGCTACCTCTTTGTATTTTTAAGCAGTAGCTGTTAATAGTATATGTAGACTGTAATTTCAATTTTAAGCTGAGAACAGTTTTTTTTGTTTTTTTTTTTTTGAGAGATCAGTCCTGAGCTAACATCTTCCAATCCTCCTCTTTTTGCTGAGGAAGACTGGCCCTGGGCTAACATCCGTACCTATGTTCCTCCACTTTATATGGGATGCCGCCACAGCATGGCTTGCCAAGCAGTGCATCAGTGCGTGCCCAGGATCCGAACCAGGGAACCCCGGGCTGCCACAGCAGAGCGCATGCACTTAACCGCTTGTGCCACGGGGCCGGCCCCCCTGAGAACAGATTTTATCATTTCAGAAAGTATTTTGTTGTTCTACTGGGCAGTTGTGGCCAACTAGATCAGTGGTTCTCAGCCTTGGTTTTATATTAGCAATCTTTGGAGCTTTGCTTATCCCAGACATATGGAAGCAGTCTTCAGGGTAGTTCCTCGGAACCTTTGTTTTCTAGAAAATGCCATGATTCATCATGGTGACATAGCCAGGGCCGAGAACTCTCCTAGATTGGTCGCAAGTTTAGTTATCTATGCCCTTCAGACTACTGATTGAAATTTAAGATAGTATAAGAAATTTTGCCTTTTTTGTCCCATTTGAACTTTTTTTTTTCCGTTTGTAATGGCCAAGCTTTTCTAAATGACTTATTAGAGGGCGCTTCCCTGCTATTGGTAACGTTCTGAGAGCTCGAGTTCCTTATTATGCCCCAACTGTACCCCACCTTTGCTGGTAACCTGGACCAAAGGAAGATTTGATATACTTGCCAGTGACAAGGAGAAACTGCTTTCTGTACATTTGTTTTGAGTCTTAGTTGGAGTGCAAATTGAGGTGGTAATATTCCAGTATTCTTGTTAAGTTAGAACTATTGATACATAGTTTAGTTGAAGGATCAAAAAATAATTCATGTGAGTGGTAGTATGATGAAAGAAATTTGTGTTATTCAGCATGTGTTTACATTACCGACCCTACCGTATGCCCAAAGATCATTCTAATTGCTTACATTGAGTTGGAGTTAGAAGAGAGTACTTTCATATGATCAGACAAAATTGAATGCTAAACCATAAATTCAAGAAAACAAATATAGTGGATTGGTGTTGAAGTAGGGCAGTTTGAAGAAAGGGATAGAAAAATGAAATTGGACATCATCTTTTTTTTTTTTGTTTTAACTTAGATTTATTCTCTCTAACAGGGGAGGTAGACATGTAGCAGTAAAAATAGTTAAAAATGTGGATAGATATTGTGAAGCTGCTCGCTCAGAAATACAAGTTCTAGAACACTTAAATACAACAGATCCCAGCAGTACCTTGTAAGTATCAAAATACTTAGAACTTAGAAAATGGCATCAGGTAGGTTTGAATTGTGAGAAGCTGTACTCAGTTATTTTTCATGTGTTTCTAGCCGCTGTGTCCAGATGTTGGAGTGGTTTGAGCATCATGGTCACATATGCATTGTGTTTGAACTACTAGGACTTAGTACTTATGACTTCATTAAGGAAAATGGTTTTCTGCCATTTCAACTGGACCACATCAGGAAGATGGCATATCAGATATGCAAGTCTGTAAATTGTAAGTACTTAGCATATCTTTCAGAAATTGAGTTTATTGAGACAAATTTAATGCCATACTGATTGGGATCTTTCAGGAAAAAAATGGGATCTAAAATGATAGGACTTGGAAGCCTGACTTTTAAGAGTAGGTATGAGAAAGATATAGTTGATTACAGGCTGTTGGTCAATTTTTACTGCATTTCATTCAGTAAATAATGCCTTTCTGATTTCTAAAAATATTAACCCAGAGACACTGGATTAAAATTAAGGAATGGCAAATTTCAGCTTTTATAGAGAAAGATACTTCTTCAGTTTTTAAGCAGTTAGTTGTCAGTGGACTAATTTTTTAAGTTGGGTAGTGGATTTTAGTCCCTGGTGGCTTTTCTAGCAGGATATTGAATACTGACCACTTCTTTTGACATGTGGAAAAGGCGTCAGAGAGGTTTTTTGTTGTACGGCTTTTGGGTTTGGTTAAGTTTTTGATTTTTAGGTTACAGCAGCTTTTTCTGTTTCATTCTCAGTTCTGCACAGTAATAAGTTGACTCACACAGACTTGAAGCCTGAAAACATCTTATTTGTGCAATCTGATTACACAGAGGCATATAATCCCAAAATGGTAAGTCTTTGATGTATTATCTTCATAGTTTGAAATGAATATTTTATATCTTAATATTATGCCTCAATATTATGCCTCCTTAACCATCATTTACGATTTTCAGAAACGTGATGAACGTACCTTAGTAAATCCAGATATTAAAGTTGTAGACTTTGGAAGTGCAACATACGATGATGAACATCACAGTACATTGGTCTCTACAAGGCATTATAGGGCACCTGAAGTTATTTTAGGTATGTATTTCTTAATAGGGCTTTGGGAACCTGTATATCTTTACTGAAACTGACTATGAAATTTATTTATAGTCCTAGGTCCTGTTTGTGGGACTTTTTATCTTTTTCCCTTTAAGGGATTAGTATAAAACAGATTAAAGATTTTAAGCTTTTATTTGTTGCAAATAGTCAGCTCTGGGACTTCAAGTAGGTAATAGCTTAACCTTTATCTGGAATTCAGTTTGCACATTTGTAATATGTGGTGGGATTGTAAAACAATCATTTAATGCTTGTTGTATCCCAGATGCTTTTCATGTCAAGTTAGTCCTTGTGTGGTGTAGATAGCTCCCATTTTACAGGTTAGGAAATTGAGGCTTATGAAAAATCCCGCCCGCCCCGTGCCCCCCCATCACTAGTCAGGGAAGAGTAAGCCAGAGTTGGAAGTTTAAACCAGATGTCTCCAGAGCCCTGACTCTTACATTCTATGCTATTATATTATGTTTAATCTTGCATTAAGTGATTCCTTCAGGATATTCCCAACTCAAACATCAAATTATGTACTTTTTTTTAAATGTCTTTAAGAAATATTGAGGATTTTTTTCCCTAACAGTTTGTTTTGCTTTGCAGCCCTAGGATGGTCCCAACCATGTGATGTCTGGAGTATCGGATGTATTCTTATTGAATACTACCTTGGGTTTACAGTATTTCCAGTAAGTGACAGTGATTGGTTTCAGCGGCTTTGCGCAAGGAAAGTGCTTGTTTATGTGAATGAACACTTTTAATGCAGAGTACTCACATTTGGGTAGCTTCCTTTTTTCCTCATTATAGATTGTTAGTTGTAGCTAAGTATAAAGAAAAAATCATGTAATTGTGATGCTTTGGGGCATTTGTATTTCATTCATAATTTATCATTTAAAACATTTTTAAGTGTATTACTATCCTTGTTCATTTAGGGAAATCATTGGTGAGCCTCTGTAGGCCTTAGTATTTTTTTGTTGTCAGCTCTAACTTGCTAAAAGTGTGCCTTTTTTAGTGATCATTTGCTTTTTTTTTTTTTTTAATAATGTTATTTATTTATTTTTTCCCCCAAAGCCCCAGTAGATAGTTGTATGCCATAGCTGCACATCCTTCCAGTTGCTGTACATGGGACGTGGCCTCAGCATGGCCGTAGAAGCGACGTGCCGGTGCGCACCTGGGATCTGAACCCGTGCCGCCAGCAGCGGAGCGCATGCACTCACTTGCTAAGCCACGGGGCCGGCCCTTAGTGATCATTTTCCTTGTGGCCTCTAATCATCTATGGATTAGAAATCTAGCAGCTATGTTAAATGAGAATAAAGCATAATGTGCAAGTAAAGTTGGTTAACAGTTAGTTTTCTTTTATTATTTTAGACACATGATAGTAAGGAGCACTTAGCAATGATGGAAAGGATTCTTGGGCCTTTACCAAAACATATGATACAGAAAACCAGGTATGTTTTGTTAAGAGTAAGTGCCATCCTCAGTACCATTTGGTCACATGTTCTGATTAGAACTTTATAAAACGATGAAGTCAGTAATCACTTAAGTAGCAGATTACCTTGCTGGGAAGCCAGTAACTATAGGCTGGCTTTTAAATCTCTTTAAAAGCATTTATCTTCGAGCTTTAAACGTATAATAATTGATGAAACCATTCACCTTTGCTAGATGTTTGTTTTCATTGTCAACATTATAAACATGAATGGATATTGACTTACTTTTAGGAAACGTAAATATTTCCATCATGATCGATTGGACTGGGATGAACACAGTTCTGCTGGCAGATATGTTTCAAGGCGCTGTAAACCTCTGAAGGTAAGCAATGAGTCATTGCTTAAAGGATCCAAACCTTGAGTTTCCCCTCTTTTTATAGTGGAGAAATAAAATTATAACTACCAAAGAAAAGGCTGTTGACTGTATTTCTTGTCTTTTCAGGAATTTATGCTTTCTCAGGATGCTGAACATGAGCTTCTCTTTGACCTCATTCAGAAGATGTTGGAATATGATCCAGCTGAAAGGATTACTCTCAGAGAAGCCTTAAAGCATCCTTTCTTTTACCCCCTAAAAAAAACTATATAGATTTATAATTGTACACCTCTTTTGAAGAGATCTTATGGACTGTATCAGCCTAATTTTTAAATATTAAGTTATTTTGTACAGCTTTTGTAAATTTCTTAAGGCTTTTGTATTGCCATGTTTATTTTGTTTGGATAATTTGATTTGTTAAGTAAATAGCTAAAGTAATGAACATCTTTTTCAGTAATTACTGTATAAAATGATTTCTTCAGAATAAATTTTTTGTGCTTACGAAATTAATATGAATCTGTACAGTTTGTTTTTAGCACCATTTTTCTTCATATCCTCTGTCACTTTAAAGAATGAACATGTATTTCTCTTCTTGGTGGTTTCCTTAAGGCTTTGGAGAGGCTGGCTCTGTGGCATAGAGGTTAAGTGCGCGTGCTCCACTGCGGTGGCCCGGGGTTCGGATCCCGGGCGTGCACTGATGCACCGCTTGTCAAGCCGTACTGTGGCGGCATCCCATATAAAGTGGAGGAAGATGGACACTGATGTTAGCCCAGGGCTGATCTTCCTCACAAAAGAAAAAAAAAAGTCTTTGGAAATACTTAGCATTGTTTCTGTTTCAGGGATTGCCAGCTTTCGGACGTACGCCTTCCCTAAACCAAGTGTAATGAAGCCAAATTGAGAGGATACAAAGAAGTAGAGATTAGCCAAGATGCTTTTGTTTCTCCCTTTATTCCTGTTTAGATTTAATATGGCTGCTTTCTTATCTCCCACTGAGTGTTCTGCAAATGGTTTAAGGTCCTATGCTCCTTCAGGACTGTTAATGTGAATGACAGAGAAGCTTCCAGAACCCTTTGCAGCCAAGTCTGAATTATTAAGTACTGTAGTAAGTCAGGTTTTTGTCCATGGTTTTATCTATGCTTGATCTGTTTATGACTACATGGTCAGTATTTTTTTTGTCCTTATGACTTCTTAGACTAGTTGTAGATTCACAGTAAAATTGAGAGGAAGGTGCAGAGATTCCTGACATGCCACAGCCATATGCTATGTAATGACATTTTGGTCAGCAACGGACCGCAAGTACAATGGTCCTGTGAGATTTAAGTCATGCGTCGCTTAATGAGAGGGATATGTTCTGACAAATGCATTGTTAGGCAGTTTCATTATGTAAACATCACAAGGTGTGCTTACACGTACCTAGGTGGTATAGCTTACTACATACCCATGCTATATAGTATTAATCTTGTGGGACCACCATTGTACGTGTGGTCCATCATTGAAATGTTATGTGACACGTGACTAATACCATATAGCCTAGGTGTATAGTGGACTGTACGTACCATCTAGGTTCATGTAAGTACGCTCTGATGTAGGCATGATGACAAAATCGCCCAACAACGCATTTGTCAGGATATATCCTCATTGTGACACACAACTACTTCCTGCCTGCACACATGTATAGCCTCCCCCGTTATCAGTATCCCTGACCAGAGGGTGCATTTGTTAAAAACTGATGAACCCACATTGACTTAAAGATTTTATTTATTTTTTTCCCCCAAAGCCCCAGTAGATAGTTGTATGTCATAGTTGCGCATCCTTCTAGTTGCTGTATGTGGGACGCGGCCCCAGAATGGCCGGAGAAGCAGTGCGTCAGTGCGCACCCGGGATCCAAACCCGGGCCGCCAGCAGCAGAGGGGCACACTTAACTGCCAAGCCACGGGGCCGGCCCTCACATTGACTTAATTACCTGAAGTCGGTAGACTGCCTTCTGGTTCACTTTTGGTGTTGTATGTGCAATGGGTTTGGACAAGTGAATAATGATGTGAATCCATCATTATAGAATACTGAGGATTTTCACTGCCCTAAAAATTTGCTCTGCCTATTTATCCTTCTGCTCCCAGCCTCTGGCAACCACTGATCTTTTTACTAGCCATAGTTTTGTCTTTTCTAGAATGTCAGGATTGGAATCATACAGTGTATATAGCCTGTCCATAGTTTTGTCTTTTCTAGAATGTCAAGATTGGAATCATACAGTGTATATAGCCTGTTCAGATTGGCTTCTTATTAAATAGTGAGCATTTAAGGTTCCTCCATGTGTTTTCATAGCTTTATAGCTCATTTCTTTTAGTGCTGAGTCAATATTCCATTGTCTGAGTGTACCACAGTTGATCCGTTCACCGACTAAAGGACAGCTTGGTTGCTTCCAAGTTTTGACAATTATGAATAAAGCTGCTATAAACATCTGTGTGTGCAGGTTTTTGTGTGGACTTGTTTCCAGTTCTTTTGGGTAGATACCAGGGAGTGCCATTGCTGCATTGAGTGGTAAGAGTATGTTTAGTTTTGTGAGACGAAACTGTCTTTCAAAGTGGCTGTGCTGTTTTGGGTTTCCAGCAGCAGTGAAGGAGAGTTCCTGTTGCTCCACACCCTTACCAGCGTTGGTCGGGTTTTATTGTTGAGTTCTAAGAATTCTTTATATGATTTGGATAACAGTCCTGTATCAGATGTGTCCTTTTTTTTTTTTTTTTTTTTTAAAGATTTTATTTATTTAATTTTTTCCCCCCAAAGCCCCAGTAGATAGTTGTATGTCATAGCTGCACATCCTTCTAGTTGCTGTATGTGGGACTCGGCCTCAGGATGGACGGAGAAGTGATGCCTCGATGCGCACCCGGGATCCGAACCCGGGCCACCAGCATTGCAGCGCGCGCACTTAACCACCAAGCCACAGGGCCGGCCCAGATGTGTCCTTTTTTTATGGTTAAGAATTTTGTTGTCAAAATTATTACATCTCTTGTGAAAGTTCAAACGTTACAGCAAGGTGTAAACACTCCACTTGAGAAAAAAGTGATACTTCTTCCCTTCCAAGAGTCTCCCCCCGCCCCAGAGGTCTGGTCTTGACAGCACCCTGCCTACACAGAGTGGCTGGGGTCTCTGCACGTGCCAGGCAGCATGAGGGCCGCCTGCCTGCCCGCCTGCCCGCTGGCCTCTCCCCTTGGTTAACCTCGGTTAACAGCCAAGGGGAGAATGCAAACCCCAGCCCATATGGAGAGACATTTACATACGTTTTATATAATATACAAAGAAACCAGCATCCCAGGCAATGTGATTTCCACTCCCAAAAAAATATGGAACGCTTTACGAATTTGTGTGTCATCCTTGAGCAGGGGCCATGCTAATCTCTGTATCGTTCCAATTTTAGTATATGTGCTGCCGAAGCGAGCACAGTGTCCTTTTTTTTTGTGTGTGAGGAAGATCAGCCCTGAGCTAACATCTGCCAATCCTCATCTTTTTTGCCGGAAGACTGGCCCTGGGCTGACATCCGTGCCCATCTTCCTCTACTTTATATGGGACGCCGCCACAGCATGGCTTGACAAGCGGTGCATTGCTGTGTCTCTGGGATCTGAACCTGCAAACCCCGGGCTGCAGCAGCGGAGTGCACGCACTTAACGGCTGCAGGGCCGGCCCGGAGATGTGTCCTTTTGCAAGTATTTTCTGTCAGTCCGCATCTTGGCTGCTTGTTCTCTTGATGTGGTCTTGCATAGAGCAAGAGCTAAGTTTTAGGAAGTCCAGTATCAATTTTTCCATTGATTATGCCTGTGGTGGTGGTAATAAAAAGTCATCACCATACCCAAAATCATCCAGGTTTTCTCCTATGTTATGTTCTAGGAGATTTATAGGTTTGTGTTTTACATTTAAGCATAGGATTTAAGTGTAATTTTGAGTTAATTGTTGTGAAGGATTTAAGATCTCTCCAGGGTTTTTTTTTGCATGTGCTTGTCCAGTTCCTCAACTATTTATTGGAAGGAGGGTTTTTGTATTGTTTTTTTTTTTTATTTTCTTAAAAGTTTAAAAAGGACAAGGCTGAGAGATTTTAAGCAGATTTGTAGACTACTATAAATTCTTCCTTGTTGCCAAGATAAGGATCCCAATTCCAGAGCCAGACTACCTAGAGTCGAATCTAGCCCTTACTAGCTGCATGACCTTGGGATGTCACTAAATCTTTGTGCTTGCCTACGATATCTGTAAAACTGAAGAAGATATAGTATTTACCTCAGAGTTTTGAGTGTAAATTAGTTTATGTTAATATATGAAAAGGACAATTGGAATAGTGGCCTAGATTCCACTTTAGCAGTTCTGGGAGAAGGGGCACATGGGTCTTGACTGGTATTTTGTGTGTTCTTTGGTTCCATGCAATAGTCTACTTCTCACTCAGAAATTACATCAAGGTTCTCTGTGCGGAGGACTTCTCTGAATTTTTTTGTTTTTTCTTTCTTTTTTTTTTTTTTTGTGAGGAGGATCAGCCCTGAGCTAACATCCATGTGAATCTTCTTTTTTTACTTCTGAGGAGGACTGGCTCTGGGCTAACGCCTGTGCCCGTCTTCCTCTACTTCATATGGGATGCCGCCACAGCATGGCCTGGCAAGCGGTGCATCAGTGCGCGCCCGGGATCTGAACCTAGGCTGCCAGCAGTGGAGCGCGTGCACTTAACTGCTATGCCACGGGGCCGGCCCCTGAATTTTTTTCTTAAGAATAAACTGTAAATTGTTACATTTTGAATGACTGAACCTTAGATGTCTTAAACTATGTACTATTATTATAGTCCTAAATTTCGAGTGAGGTAAGTCTTGCCATTGCAGCTGGTGACGTGGATATTCAGTTGTACTAATTCCTAGGCTAAGATCTGAGAGTCACAGTGTGTTGGTTACATGTTTGACTGAAAGTAAGATGCATTAGGAGCCTTATCCTGCCTCCTTAGTGGTGTCCCAGAGCCAGTTTGCTAACATCCCATTGGTCAAAGAAGGTCACATGGCTGGGCCAGAATCTTCATGGAAGGGCATTTACAAGGTTACATGGCAAAAGGTGTGGACAAAGGCAGAAGTGGAGAATTTGGACCATCAGTGGAATCAGTCACCCCCTCTGGAAACCCAGTCTATTAACAGAAGCCAGAGTGAGCCTATTAAGACTAAGTATTAAGTCACTCATCTCAAAATCCTCCAAAGGCTTCTGTATCAGTTTTACCAAAGTCCTTATGATCACCTTTATAATATATCTGCCGTGGCATTCCATTTTTCTGGCTACACTGCCAGCTGTTTTGTCCTCTAATGCAGTGCTGTGGCCTCACTGGCCTCCTTGTTCCTCCAGCGTACCAAATACAGCCCTTCCTCTTCTAGATATGCACGTCTCACTCTTTCTCCTCCTCCAGGTGTTTATCTCAGTGAGGCCTTCCCTGGCCACGTTACTTAAAATTGCCACAACTTCCGTTGTCAACACCATCCATATGCCACTTCTCTGCTTGA